AGCATACATTATACGAAGTTATACGATTTAGAAATTATTAGATCATTCTTGCGCGGGCACGTGTGTAATTCTTCCTTTATTATTTAAGACTGTATATACAGAAAGAATAATTTATATAAGATTCATTTACAATATTTGTTTACGATAGATTTTGAAAACTTTTCGCTAGGTCAGAGTGAAATCAAAGTTATAAAATAATATTGTGAGCTTCTTTTCAAGAGCGCGATAGCTTTAAGCATTTTTATCAAAAACATTGTGATGATTTTATCTAGAAGCTTCTTATGCATTTTTATATCTATATCTTGTCACAAAATATTTTGCTATCTTCTCGCACACAATGATTACGATAATGGTAAGTGTTGCACAATCTAAGACACGATAGAAGATATTTGAATTTTTTTTTATTTGCATCAGAGCTGGGAAAGATGTCCGAAACTTTCGGTCGATTCTCATACTTGGCGCTGCTCGGCGCCCACTGGTTCCATTATTAGCTGACAAGGAAGGAGCAGTGAACATCAACCGCGCAAATCAGCCGAAAATCGCGAAAATCCCTTTCACGGCTTTGTTTTCGATGATAGTGTATCTTGCACCTTAATTATATTCTTCATTAAATGCTAATGCTTTTATTATCGCAGATGTAAGATACCCTGTTCATATCTCGACACGGAAAGTGTATTTAACATCAATGTTTTATTCATAAGACCGGTAATTTTATTCGTTGGATGGCTATTAATTTTTATGAAATAAAATTCCATGATGAATGCGATGGGAATCAGTGTTGGGAGAAATATATTCACGCAGATAATAAATTATGATTTACATATCGTACATCTTCCAGGAAATGTATCAACGTAATTATTATTCGCGAATATATTCTGTCCAATACTGCTGAGAATATACGATGCAAAATCACCAAACATCTTTCTGAATGCTATGCACAGTTGAATGTAGTTTTTTTGACTACAATTATTTTATTCCTAAACGATTATTTTGACGTACAACACTTTAAATCCAACGACATAATCATTTAAATTTGATTCAATTCTTTGATCTCGACGTACAATATTATGTACATATATCTGGACCCAAAATTAATATTATTACACAAAAACATGCCATTACGATAAAAGGAAAAATGTATACAATACAAATGTGCTCTCTCGAAACTTGCTCGACAACTTATTTGCAAAAATTAGAAACCTTAGCTGAAGTTTTATGATTAACAATAAATCATACGTCAATGCTTAATACAAGATTATCAAAATTGACATGGACATTCTCAAAAATCGAAATTGCTTAATTAATAACTTGAGAAAATATACAAAATTCCTAAGACATTACACGGAAGTCGCCTCGTTCGCATTGAGATCTTCACAGTCTACTTCACCGGGACTGCTATTAATAGCAAGCACGGCCTCGTCAAATTTTAATTCCTCCTTACCCGCCTACAGAGGAATTATTTTATTTGACATTTTTCTTTTTTTTTCAATAATTCATATTAATGATATGGCAGTAGCGTGGAAGCACAATTACAAAAATGAATCACCGACATCGCCGGCTATTACCTCTTTGAGCAGAATCCGACAATTCTCCACGACGCTACGTCGCCGGTCCGACACGTTGTTCAAGACCTCCTCCGGCGATTGATGCAGATTATCGATAATCTTGCGAAGCTCGTTCAATTCCGTTACAGTGGCTTCCAATTTCATCTCAAAGTTGGATCTTTAAACGATATTTTAAATAAGTAAAGCCTATTTTTCCTATAATTCATTAACATTTATTTAGACACTAAAAACATTGAGAAAAGTATAGAAATCAAATATTTCTCAATAAAAAATAAAATGAAATAGTTGAAGAATCTAAATTAAATTAAAAAATTTAAATTACACTTCGCACGTAGTGTGACAAAAAAATTAAAAAAGATTCAATCACTTTTTGCGACAATTCTAATATTAAAATGTTCAAACTTACTTTTCTTCTTTTAATTCCTGTATGCACGTATCATTATCGAGCTGTATGATTCGTAATACTTTCAACAGTTTAGTAACAAGATTGTCCACCTCGATCACTTGATCGACAAGATCAATGGACGGACAATAGTCAGTTAAAGGCAGAGGACCGTCGTTGGTGCCGGTGTCAGATTCGCTCACGGAATCGCAATCATCGTCACCTTCGTCTTCCACCTGTGAATTAATACGATAGTTAACAGATCGTATTTCCAACATCATGAATTAAAATTAAATACTTGCCTTACGACGATGCAAAATAGCCTGAGTGAGGCTCGTTAAACTGCTACAATCGTCACTGATCTTCGATTTTCTCACGTCGTCCGTCGTTTCGGAGAAACTGAACGCTCTTCGGAGAGAATCGCTACTCGATATCATATTATGCGAGTACGTGTCGGGCAAGGGAACATCTTCTAGAACGCTTTCCATCATTAGACACGGCTCGGTCTCGAAATCGAGCAGATCCGATGATTCCATACTTAATTCTAAATGAAAGAAATGCAGAATGTTTAATCAATACATGTGCACACGTGTGTATAGTTTATTCACCACCTAAGTTGCATTTTATTTATAACGCATTTCATTACCTTTGTAAATCTGTTTGGACGAATCTAGATTGGACTTTTTATCGATGCTTCTCGTTGCGAAAGGATGCGTTGCGGCGTTACGAATCGCGCTGATCACTGCGGAAACGAAGGATCCGCTTTTTGGACTCGGCGTGCGCTCCTTCAAACTCTGCTTAGAGCTAACTGGACTAGACTCTACGCTACTGTTACTTCTGCTGTACGCTTCATTATGATATATGACGTCCTTCGAAGAAAAATTTCAGTATATTTAAAAAGCCTCCAATAATAACAAAAAAAGTAATTTCTTAATTATTAAATTTATTGTCGAAAGATAAAACAAAATTTTATCAGTATACTTACTTCAAGATCTTTTATCGAGATATTGTAGGAAGCGATTAATTGATCTACTAATCCTTCTAATCTGGTGCTAAGTCCAGAGAGAGCAACAGCCGCTCCAGACATGGCAGCGCCTTGAGTGAGTAAAAGTTCTCTACTTCTTCGTTCAACGGCATTCAATTTCATACTCATCGATAAATTCTCCTGCCTAGAAATGAACAAAAGATTACTGTATATAGTTACAAATATTTAGTTTAAATATTAAAAGAAGTTTCCATGAAACGCGCACCTTCTTTGTTCGCTAATTCGCACTAAATGCTGACACTCCTCCGTTTGTCTTGCCAAATCCGCCTCTTTCAGAAGTAAAATTTCTTCTTTTTTCTTGAGCTACAAAAAATAAGTATGAGATAGATTCTTCGAGAAGCAAATTTAAAAAAGAAATCGTACCTCTAGTTCGGCGTCCTTAAGCGCATCCGCCAAGGTGGCCTTCTCTTCTTGCAGGAAGTCTTGCATCTCGGCTGATTCAGCCTCTAATTCTTGTTGTTGCTGCAGCAAGGATTTTTGCGCGGCTAGACTTTTCTCCAAATCCTTTGACAAAAATATCCATTATGGAATATTTTCCATATCGGTGATTTTTACATTTGCAATTGCTAAATTTAGTGTTCTTACCCTGCTCAGCATACGACAAAGTGATTGCAGATCAGCTATTTCGACCTGTTGATTAGCAACGACTTGTCCCGAGGACTGTATGTGACTCTCGAGTTCCAGAAAACTGTCGCTGCCCTCTGAAGGAAAATTTGGTTATAATGTTAATAATTAATATATTACATTTTGTTGTTATATAAATAAGCAAGTAATCTTACTCTATAAATAGAAGTATCGTTTGTTTGCATTACTGCTATCTGATGAATTACCTGCATGCTCCGATTGCGGCGTGCCCAACATAGCCAATACCCGTTGCGCGTTCCTGTCGAGCTCTTGACGCGCGAACGCATGGTCGGCTCGTTCCTCTTCCAAGAGCCGATTCGCCTCGGCCAATTCGAGCTTCAGTCTCTCGTTTTCTTCTCGCCGACTGCTGCTCTCCTCGTTCAAGCGTTTCAAGTTTTCCTGCAGAGTCTGCACGTCGTTCCATGCGTCCTCTGTCTGGCAACTCTGGTGTAGCCTCTCGATCACTTCCGGCCCGGCGATGGCGCTCGGCTGTCCGGACATCACGTTCTCGATATCCTGCCCGGTTAAGCCGGTTTGCGCGCTGGTTTCATGATATATACGGGTCCTCTCGACAGTTCTTTGTCTGGGATACGGCGGCAAGCTTTTGTGAACGGAAGACGAGTCTCTTCCGCCAATAGTTTTCCTCTCGAGAGCTCTGCTGAGACTAACGTCACGACTTCCGGATCTACTTCTGGTCGTCTTGTCCTTCTCCACGGCCTTCGAAATCATCAATTTATTTCTGTTCCTGCGCGGCAATGTTGCATACGTGTCCAGTGCTTTGTTATCCTGGCCGACGACTTTACTATCAGCGCGCAAAGCGGTTTTTGCGCAGAGAACGCGAGAATTCGAAAGGGACGGTATCCTCGCTCTCGTTTCCTCGGACGGCGTGGACGCCGGCGTCCGCGACGCCCCTCCTCGCGTACCGGACGCGGCCCTCGAGGAGTCACCCTTGACGGTTCTCACGCCACGCTGCGCGAGATCCTTGTTGATTTCCGTAGTCAGCGCGGATGGCAGCGAGTCGGGCAGCACTCTCGTCCTCGCCTTCGCGGCGGAGGACGAAGTCGGTATGGATGCCAGATTGGATGCGGTGCTGCCGCCGGATCGACAGCCGTACGTCGCACTACGACTAGCAACATGCGTTTTTGTGACCTCCGCGGCGAGCGAGGAACCCGAATCTCGGGCGCCCGATTTCTCCCGCGATCGCGGCCTGTCCCGTTCTCTCTCCCGGCTCGCGCTTTGTACTTTGGTCAATATATTTCTAGGAGTCACCGTGCGCGATTTGGATCGCGGTGTCGTCGTGCCCAAGCTGGAGGACACGCTCGAGGTCATGCTCGTCGGTTTCGCGCGAGTGCTCTTCTGCGACTCGGCGCCGCTCGACGTTTTCTTCTTCGTCGCGCTCGAAGCGGTTGCGGTCCTCTTCACATTCCCTCGACTCGTTCGCGCAGACACGCTACCGGCGATGGACGAGCTCTCGCTGCCGCCTTCGCTTGTGCCCTCGCCGCCGGTAGGGCCGAGCCGCACATCGTCCGGCAGCGTCGATCCGCATGGATCCTCGTACACCGAGCAGCAACTGACGAGACTGGAATCGCAGGAGGCCTCGTCCAGGCCGCCGCAACTGCTCCCACAATCGACGCTGTTCCTTCGCACCTGCAAGGAAAATTCATCCTATGATCGTCTGTTCTCAAGCTCGCTTTCGATGATCTATAATTCGCTACAGAATTCAAGATAGAGTTTCACGTGCCACATAAAACATTTTGAGAGAACATTCAAACAATTTGATCTTCCTCAATTCTTCTTCTAATTTCTTTCAATATTTTCTATATTTCGCACAATTATAAATATATCCATAAATAGATAAATAAATTTTTATCTAAACTTCCTTCATGAATTACAGATCATCTAAAGCGGACTTTACTTCACTTTAATTTTATCTGGATTTCTTATGTCTTAAAAGTTAAACAGTCTTCATTAGTATACAAAGCATATTTTTCTACCACTGATAAAAATCTAAAAGGCCCGAAATATTCGGAACGTAAATTTCAAGTTTCGTAATTTTTCGTATGACTCAGTTCTTTAGTTAATCCTATAAATATTTTGCATGTCTTCGAAAAAAAAAGAACAAGATTTCATCAAGATTATATTCACCCGCGGAGTTTCTGTGGCGCAGCCCTCGACTCCGCTGTCGCTACCATCCTTACTATCCTTGTTCTCGGCGTGCGATTTCTCGCTCGCTTTACAGCTTTCCAATTCGCTAACGTGGATCACGGTGATGTTGCATTCGCTGTTCATAGTAAGATTCGAATCCTCCTCTCCGCTGAGGGGCCGTGTCTCATCGTTGATAGGTGAGGCGAGATCCTCCGGCACGCCCGAGTCTTGCCGCGCCACGTTCGGCGAGGACACCTTCAGAGAATTTTCGGACTCGAGGTATTGAGCCTCCATTGCGGTGATATTCAGCGAGTCACTCATTTCGATCTTGTCATCTTGAACTGAAAGTATTATAAATATTATAAAAAGGAATGAATAAATACGGAGCGAAAAGAAAAAGTAGCACAACTAAGTATAAATTATACAAAATTAATTCCTACTTGCGATTTTGTATTCGAGCATTGCAAAATAGTTTTAAAACTTTGTAGACAGAATTCCATTCGCAAAAAATTATATTAATTATTTAAATGCAGAAAATTAATTATAATACATATAAATACATTCATAAATATGGCTTGAAACTCGAGAAGATAGCTCTGGACGTATTTTAAGCGTCTACAAATCCAACTGGCTCGTTTTTCTTCTGGCTGGCGTTCCGGCCAGGGGGGGGTTCGACCATGAAAGAGAAACGAAACTTTTTGCGCGACGATGCAGCGAACACATTGATTTAATTTCGTAACAAGATAGCCGATTGTCGGACGCGGTTGCGAAGGTCTCTCGCGTTTGAAAAATCACATGGAATCTGAGACAGTTTGCGGACCGAAGATGCAGACAGAAGCAATTAGCCCGCATGGCGCCGGGTCGGTGAAGCTATTTCATCCCGTAATCGCGTTATGTCATCCCAATCACGGTCATATGAAATCACTCGAATGGCGTGCGCGCCTCGTGCGAGGGAAGTTATTTCGGACGGATTGCAAGGGACGGACCTTTCCCCGATACGCTTTTCCAATTTGCGCCGAATTAGCGAAAAGCTAACTAACCGTTCAGACAACTGAGTCGTAAATCTGATTATTTCACGTTTCAAGTGAAAATTCTCTACAAATTTTATTCGCACTTCGCAATTATACGTTATTCATTCATTTATTCGCAGATTTTTATAGTTATAATTAATGTTGAATGAAGCAAACTTCAATTCTAATTCACATTTTAAACATGACTTGCCTGATTAAAAAAAAAAAGTAACAACAAATGGTTGGAAAATGCAATTTATTTATTATTATTTTCACGCAAGGTCAGCTTATGCTTCTTTCCTCGAGGCCGGCGATGCGGGAATTTTGCTTATCAGTTTATCTCCGCTCTCTTGGCACGCTTCCACGCACCTAGGCCGATAAAGGCCAGTGAGTATTGTGCAGACGTGAAATCGCGAGGAGGGAGAAGGTGATTCCCCTCGGATGCATATCTGAGCAAGTGCGCGACGTTGATATCCTGCAGATAGCACGCGCGAATGTGTTGTCGAGTTACATTGAGTCAGTCAATTACTTCATTCCGATTAACGGATGACGTAGTGCATTTCACACATGATTTGCGATTTACGCGAGATCAAATGACAGTGAGAGCGGCTTGCCAGCAGCGTAGTTAAATATTTGAAATTCTCGAGAGATAAGATGTACTGATACGCTGATATTCAGCGCTGAATGTCATGTCAGGCATTGCAAATGTGATGCTTAATAAAATATACAAAGGTCTTTTTGGTCTACTAAAAGAGAGAAGAGTTAAAATCATTTTTAAATCAAAGAAAGGATTTTATTTTTTAAGAAAAGAAAAGAGATTTGGAGTGACGCTACGATTGCATCAGTAACGAATGTCGTAAGCGGGTTTGTTTTCAGACATCTCGAATCGGCAAAGCGATTTGTCCTTCCTTCGGCCGTGACAGATGACGACTAGAGAAGTGGCATGCCGAATTAGAGAGAGAGAGAGAGAAGAAAAGAGAAGAAGCAGAGTCGTGACTAGGCCACGAAAAATACGGTTCCTTCTTTATTCCAAATTTTCTTTTTAATTTTTTCACTGTGCTGAATTTATATTAGTTCTAAGAGAAACAATCTACACATTTGACTGCACATTAGAACATTCTCAAATCACATTAAATGTTTTTTTTTTTCATAAAGATATTATCACAAATCTTTTTATTAATGTAAAATCAATTTTTCTCTCTCTGTTTCGAGTAATTAACAATTGAAAATATAAAATTCTCTCCGAGCAAAGCTTCAGGAATAGAATAGTAAAATGTTTAGTGCATATTTTGAGATAAGCAATCAAACATCTTAAATATCAAGGATGGATAAAAATTGATAAAATTGTAAATTGGCAGAAAAGAAAATATATGATAAAATCACATCTTATTTTTTTTGCGTTTTAATAGAATTCTAATTCAAAGCATAGAGTGTTTCGGATATAAAACGCTAACAATTCAAAATATGCAATGAACATAAGCTTCGAAATAAATAAATTAATTATACACAAGCGTGGATTGCTCAACGTTTTTCCAGCACTAGTTCTCCAAATTCACTTCTCGATAGCATAATTAAATGCGAAAATTTAATATTTCAAATTTCTCGTTTTCTCCAATACTCGATTCGCCTAAATATAATCCAATTTCGTTGAACCGCGTGTCGCAAATAATTCGCCGCAGGTGCCGTGATGTTCAGCTACGATTCTGGCAGTAACGAACGCTCGTCGATCCGGAAGGTCTCGCGGGAAGTCCCCCGAGCCAGCGTCGACAGCCGGGGCCGATTACTCCGGTGAAGAACCCGCCGAGCCACGTACACCCACCACCAGACCATACGCGCTCGTTAATACGCGGCCACCGCGTGAGCATCAACGTCGTGTCACGCCGTTCGCCGTAACGTAAACAGCTCTCTCGTGCGTCTGCACGACTTTTTCTTTACAACACTCTACACGCGAGATTTATCCGACTGACGAAAGACAGAAGCGATAGAAAGTTCCGAGAAAAAGATCATCAACAAAGCTGTACAATCGATAATATTTGATTGGAAATTAGCGCACCGCTGGTGCGACAAAGTCATCCAACAGCGGATGCTATTGCATAATAATAACTCGCGATAATCGTGTTTATAACGATATACTGTTGGCGAAGTACTTTGTTGAAAAACGGACGGACATTTCACGAGTTCCACATGACGATCTTCCACATCGATGATCAAGTGGAGCCGAAGAGGAAGGATGAGAGGAACAAGAGCAGCTCTGTAAGACGCCGCGAGCGTCCTTCCGACGAAAGAGGTGCCGGAAACGACGCTGGCGACGGTATCGAGCGGTTCCATGGCGACGGGCTGGTTGTTAGGATGCACTCAAATCATCGAGTGCTAAAAGTCACGGGCGACGGCTGCCAGGTCGTTCTGTCGAACAACTCCGGCAGCGTTCGCATCGTCGGCGATGGCTGCAAGCTGCGCGTGAAGCACAACGTGGGTGACATCGAGTACACCGGTGACGGCGGAAGAATCCTCCTCGGATCGGAGTCCAAAGGAAAGGTAAAATTCGTTGGGGACGGAGGGAAGGTGATCTTCGATTCGAGATCCGAAGCGGAACTGAACAAGTCCTCGAAGGATCGGAAAAATGGGGGAAAAATAGAAGGAATTATATATGCGTGTGAGAAAATTATTGGAGCGACACCGAAATGTGAGAAATGTGAGGATGACAGTATGCCGTGGAACGAGGAAGACCAGGACAGTGCAGTGAACGATACGAAAGAGGGACGCCGAGAGAAGTGCGGGAAGCGCAACGACGAAACGCGGAAATCCGACGCGCGGCATCCGACCGTCACGAAGATCATCACGAAGATCCGAAGCGACGGGCAATGCGTGCGGAAACGCTTCGGCAATTCTTCGTTGATCGTTAATAGCCGCAACAACGATCGCCCCGTGGCGAAAAGCTCGGGAACTTTGGCCGCAAGCAGCGCGATTGAATGACGTAACTGAAACTCTAGACGTTATTTAAAATGTTCTTTGAAGAGCGAACGATTAAGCGCAATCGTAACTAATTCGCATAGTTAATTAAAAGTCTTTTTTTTTCTTTTAATGTACAAACTGCCGGTAGTCACTTTAATTTTACCAGAAATTTTAGGTAGCTTCTTTTTTTTTAAATCAAAATTGTAAAAAAAGATCAAAGTTTATCGTGCGAAATCAACTGACGAATCGATTGAAATGCACAAATTACAAATAGCTAGGACATTTTAATTTTATTATTGTAATTCTCTACTTGTAATGGTTATCGTTTCCTATCTTTGTGATATATTTATTTATTATTTTGTAAACACTTCTACGTATATGTAATATTACAAATTTTTCAACTGTTCACCATTTTGCAAAATAAATTATTTAAAAAGATATTTTTATATTATTGCATGTTAACTATTATTTTCCTGTAGAGTGATAGATACGAAGGTATCATTAATATGGAAATCATGTTCGATTTAAACAGTAAGTAGAACAAAAAGTAGGACTTTCAGCCGTTTAACACTAATTGCATGTTGATTAGTGTATGCGTTCTTCATGGATATGTATCATTACGCAAATATTTTCTGTATTTTCTATTACTTATGGAAATATCTTTAAATTTAAAAATAAAAAATGACTACATTAAATTGTTCGCTAATTGTTAAAATATCATTCCTGCATTTTTATTAGCATTTTAATTACTGTATTCTGGTTTTTAAGAAATATTTCCCATATTAACATTTTGAAATAACTATTTTGATACAATAATTTAAATTTACATTTATTCTTTCTTATCGTAAAGCCGTTGGTCACGCTTTAGTTAAAATACTACTCATTTAAATTCATTGTCAGTGTATCAGAGCGAAACGATCTCGAAGATCTGATCTACATCAACAAATAAGAAATGAAGCGAATAAGATATCGAGATATCGATTCATTCATTGCAGATTGACACGACGTAGCATCCGACATCGTTATGTACGAAACGCGAGAAATAGCAATGAGAGTAAATGTGGAGATGATTTATATTTAGAAAGGAACGCTAGCTACGACGTTGCTTGAGAACACCGTGTATAATCGATAGATAGGATATCAGCTGTTAACTATTCCTGGCGATCATATAAAGCCCACAGCTCGGAAATTTCCGAGATAAAGATATAGAATGGCGCTAACGATTGATCTCACACAAGTAATTGGTAAAAAATGTGAGTTTCTTTAATTAAGTTCAAGTTTCTTGATTTAATTTAATTCAATTTAATTGCATTTAACACTCTCTATAGTTTTATATTTGTTAAGAAATTATTTTTAATGTAACTTAACTGTAATTTAGCTTTTAATTCTAGTTTCTCAGAAAATTCAACAAAAGCAAGGAAAAAAGTAACGCTCTATGAAACTAAATTTTCAACCAAGTTTTCCGGAATTGTTTCTTTGGCATATGTTTCGAGTCTGATTAACAGATCAGTTTTTGGTACAGCACCCTCGGCGTAAACTGTAGAGGCTGCAACAGGGTGTACTGGTTGCAGCAGCTACCGAGATATTTCAGTAAATGGGCGGTCTTGGTATGAGGGCGACTGCTGCGAGAAAGATAATTCTATTTATGAACGACAGTAATTCGTAGCATACCCGAATATCACGCTTCAAGAGATTAATCCCTAAAATTTCTTCGCCGAGATTCACAATATTACTGTTATAATATTTGTCTCATTATAATTTTTCTAAATCACCGCAGGCTTCACCGAATAAAATGCCAAGAAGTACAATATTTTTTCCAACATTTTTTTGCGTTTTAAATATAGACGTTTGATAATTATGATTCTATAAATTTTGAAAGGGCAGATAAATATCGCATTTTTTTGTTGGAAAATAAGAATACGCAATTTAATGATAATTGAAGAAGTTAGAAAATGCAGGGAATAAATGCAGGAAATTACCGAAAGGCGATATTGTGAATAAAGCCGTCCAGTTGGAGAGCAACGTTGCTACTGTTTGCATTGTACGTCAAACAAATCGTCAAGCATCGCGCTCGTGAAAGCAAAGGGAAGCGTTCCTTTCTTTCTCTCCCTCTCTTTCTCACGAGACTCAATTCGAATTAGCCCCCGCTTTTCCTCCCCTTCCAGGTCCACATCGTATGGATATATTTATCGTCTGTGTTCGCTAAAACCATTCTGCAAGGTCCAACTTGACCTGCCTACGCGAGCGGTCTTTATTCAACGCATTTGCATTCGCTGCATACTCGAAAGTCTCGAATGTACAGTCAATTTATTTTGTTTTTTGTTGCAGTGACATAACTATTATATAATAGAACGTCTCGTAAAGACGATTTTATAATATTTAAATATTTTAAATGCGTACATTCTGCACATATATTTTGTTAAACAGATATATATTTCTCTAAGACATATTTTTTCTCTATGGAAAAGTGGACTTCGAGTCAATCGTTGAAATTTTATCATTGCAAATATTTTTATCATAATATTGAAATATGAAATCACTAAAATAATATCGACCTCAATCTCTGCTTTCTAAATTGAATCTCGTCCAGTGCTGAGAATGTCGGCGTACAAACAACAATAGTCTGCGTTGGATGTAACAAATATTTTCTCTTTGAAATGAAAACTGTTTTGATTTTTTCACGATGGAATCAAACGAAGAAGCGCCACCATATCTATACCTTTGAAAACCTTTGACATTTTTAGCGAGACTCTTATCGAAAAAAAGATTGAAACTTTTTTGCAAGTTCCACAATTTACATTTCGAGTCTGCCCGAGCAATATCTGATCGAATAAGTCGCAGTAATGGAGAAAATAACACTTCTATCTTACATAATACATATGTTTCGATCGCTCAGATCTGTAAACATGAACGTGCCGCGCAATAATCATACAATTACACGAAATTGCTATATAGGTGTCGTGAAAACTGCGCTGACGGCGTGAAAGTTTAAGGCCACTCACTAAACTGACCGGGCTAATTATCGAGTAGAAGAATCCTCGTCACCGCGTATAGACCCGGACTAATTAGCGAATTAATAAGCGAACGGAAGCCCGCGATCGCATCGGCGTAACAGCCGTAAAAACGCCAGTCTCGCCCACGCTTTCCTCGATTATAAATATTCTTCAACACGTTTTCTTTCGCACGGTCGCGAAAGTAAGATACAATTTCATCCCACCTGACGCGGAATGTTTTTTCGCCGTACGGCAACGTGAGAGCTTACCTACCACGGCTCTCTAATCGCGCTGAGAATCTCGCTTCGTGTCTCACGACTGCCGATTCCGTACAAATTTTACGTCAATTAATTCCCTAGCAATTCGCAATCGTTTTGCGAATGACTTTACGTTAAAGTGATAAATAAATTGGCCACACTTTCTAGCTAAATTGAGCGCGCGCCGCGTTTTCAGACGTGATAAATTCGAGAGATAAGCTCGAGAGCTATTGTTCGCGATTAATTTTTGTTACGCGGAATCGCGAAGAAAAAAAAGGGTGGATTTAAAAGATTGAGAGACGTTTTTCAGCGTCTTTCCAAAAAATAACTATAAATTTTCATTATATTCGTTGGAATGAATTGTACAAATAATTTTTAAAAGTTACAGTCATGGGCTTTCGAGTAAAAGTAAATTCATAATTCGCAGGATTCCAACTTTGTAATTATAGAATTCATTAATTGCAAAATCCACATAGCATGTGTATTTAAGTTTGATTTTGCAGATTCATACGATCCACTTTCGCTCTGTGCATTTTTATGTAAACCACGAAATGATGAAACAGTTACAATGTATTACCGGCACGCGATTTCTCGACTATCAATCAAAATTGCTTTTAAAAAAAATTAAAAAGGGTAGACAATTATTAGCGGAAAATACACATGATAACACGAATACTTTTATAATACATCAATAATAATGCTCACTTAACCAGTTTGTCATATTTGTAAATTCATACACAATTTGATCGTATTCAAACCATTATCGTTAATTGATCTTGTAAATTTTTCATGATAGAACAAGTACACAGTTGAAGATCCCTAATTATTATTCACCATTTTAATGATTTTGTTTTATCGTATTGTATACGATATTGTCAAGTTATAAAATAAATATATCTGTTTCAACAGTAGACTTATGCATATATTGCATTTAAAACAAAATATTTAAAAATTTATCGTTATTAATTTAGATTTATTATTATCAATAATATATACAAAACAAAATTGAAATACTGCCCCTAGCTAAGAAAAGGTATTTAAAAAATTCTTCACTGCGAATACAAAAGAAGCTGAATAAAACATGCTTCCGGTTAGTTTATTAATTTTTGAATTAGTAAAGAAAACTGTGTTACAACACTGAGAATATTTTCGTAAGAAATTATAGATTTTCGATAAAGTTCATATCAAGTATTTCAGGCGCACTAGATTCCACGAATTCAAGATATAAACGCTGTTATCTATTTCCGATTATTCGTCCCTTAAAAACGACACCGGAGAGACGTTCAATTTGTAATCTATCAGAAACGGGAAATAGACGATTAACCCTTGATCACTGGCGCATCTTCGTGCCGTTAATTCTGGCGCAGGATGTACGCAATATCTCAGCTATTATATTAAATATCAAAGGTTATACAAGAGCATGAAAGAGTATCTCACGCACGACATTTTTCCCAAACTGACTTATGTATCTCACAATTTTCACAATAACAATATTTACGAAAATTCCAGTATCCCATGTCAAAAGATTCAAATAAGTTATTGCAAGGATAACATGTTGTCACGAACGATCGCCAGTCATAACCTTTCGCAGGAGGGTGGATCCGATCGTCGAGAACAAGGAGCGAGTCCAAACACTCGGGGATCGATAGCGCATAGGGAACAGAGCTTACCTCGCCTGACGTTCGCCGGCTACCGGAGCGATAATTATCCCAGATAACTATGCGGTTGAGCGATAACTATCCCGGAACGGTACGGTCGATACCGGAGCTTCACGCTTATCTCGGCATCCGGTGTAAAACTGGGAGTCCGGTGAAAACACAACTAGATCACGGAGCAATCACGGAGTGAGAGTGGTCTCGCGTATCAACATCCGCGAGCTTGGATTTCGAATCGAGTCCGGTGTGCGCTTGGTGTGTGTGTACACTTAATTCTCGCACGGAACCCGCACGTACGAATTTCTGCACTCGTAAGGATACGTAGAATAACGAAATCAAGCGCTCAAGTTGCTATACTGCTTGCTATACTGCCTTCGAACGGTGCCGTAAAACGATCTCAAAGAGCGGTTACGCGCGCGACGAGCAATGGAAACAGAATAACGCGAGACACTGCGGTGGTGGCGACACGGGGGAAGCTTCCAGTCAGCATGGGCAGCGACAACTGGCGAGAGGTAGGTTCGAACCCTTTATGGATGCGCCCAATCGTGGGAGATATCTTCTGCAGATAACGATGGAATCACTGGAAAACGCATTTGAAAAAAATACGGAAAAAACAAAATCATAAATTCCTGAAAATTTTCATTACTAGATTAATAAAAATTAATATTAGTATTGCTAATTTTGTATTTGTAATACGAATATCACGCTAATTCTTAAATAGAAGGGAGAAATGTTTTTTTTTTTTTTTAACAAAACATGTTATTTCTATTTTATGGTGTTAGAAAATATAAATCATCATGTATATATGTAAACAATTTTAATATTTTTTTAGTATTACGACTAGTTAACATACTTAATGAATTATTAAGAAACTAAAATTGTTTTGTAAGAAATACACACAATTGTTTATAAAAGAATGGAAGTAATTTTTACTTAAAATCTTTCATAGCAGGCGTCAAAGTCATTAAAGCTGTCTCCATTTCTTTCCTCTCATTTTCTGTCCGTAATCTTGACCACATTTGTTCCAGCTTTTTCTCTTGATGTTTCTAAAAATATTTAAAAAATGAAGTTTTTTTACATATTATACAAAATAGGCAAAATATATTGCATTCTCACCCTGATGAAAAGAAAACAATGTTTCATGGTGGCTCCAATATATAGAATACTTGTTTTAACCTGTTGTCCACCTACTTCATTTATCAATGGGCTGGCACGCAATACAAATTTATGAGGCCCATGTCTAGTCTTTATCAATGCTATTTTTGTATGTTTATTGCAGTATTTTACTGTGACAAAAAAATATATTAAAGTACAAATTAATTTAAATAAAAAAATAACATAATTATCATATTATTATGAATAAAAAATGTTTGAAATTATCATTGCTTCAAATATTGAATTACCATCAAAGCCATCCCTTATTGCTGCTGCTCCAAAATCACCGTATAAATATTGTACCTTCTTATTAACAGCATGTGCTAGAGCCGTATTTTTAAACATTAATTGTTCATTATTTTTGTTATACGGCTTTACTTCGAGAACAATGTATCTAAATGGATATAATAGAAGAATTATCAAAATTGTAATTTGCTTTATCTCGTACATTATTAATCAAGTTCAACATCATCATGAATATAAAATTATTGTAACAATTATGAATAACGTACCTGTTTTTGAAGCGAACCATGTTTTAGGTTATGTGCTTCTCTATATTTATTGTAATTTTGTTAATTTATAATTCAAGATTATTCAAATATTACCACAAAAGTTCAATATTGTTCTAAAAATTATGCGATAGCGTGTCAATATTTAACATATTTGTGTGCCAGCAGAATGAATGATCGTAAAACAAACAGAATTGTAACATTCTCAGCTGTTCGCAACCTGAATTCAGCTCACTGACACAGTCACGTGTATTAAAGTCAGATATGGCTAGGTCGCATCGGTATCAAGCGTACGATTGGTACGACCGCATAAACAATTCGCGCTATGCACGTGTATACACACACATGTGGAATAAGCAACGAGTTTTTATGCAACGATCATGTGGCATATTTTTTACGGTTGTTATGCTTCATCAATTTTGCATATTTCTCATCAGAACGTAAATGACATCATTATATTACGTTATATTATTGGGTGTCGCCGAAGATGACTTTCACTAAATAATGGGAAATTCCTTATTTACATACATTGACATAACAGAGTACACAATACCATAACAGAATTGTACAGTAGCAACTATAAAAGCCAGGTAATTTATGCAATATAACAAATATATGTTTCCATACATCTTTATGCTTTATATATCGTAAACAATTAATTCTATCTAATGGTTTCATATGTTTTATTATTTAAAATGTGAGTACCATATGTTGCAAACATGCATTTTACTCATACAATTCTTAGATTTACTTGTGGTTGTTAATATCAAGCCACTAGCAAGCTGTGTTTGACTCGTGTTTAACAGATTGACATTGGTATGTGTTGCTGGATTAAGAAAGCATTAGCTGATAACATATACTACACTGTTTGAAATCTTTATTCACCCTGTATCTCCTTCGCAATTAATGTTATCTCAGGGTCATGTCATCATAGAACATATATCAAAGATTAACACATGCTGTACGATTGGCTGATAATTTATAATTTTACAGCCCTCCTTACAGTCTAAACTGGATGCAAAGCGTTTAGTTGACTTCGCTTGACTTGAGTGAATGTTTGTCGTAATTCAGCTGCATCAGTCATGGATTTTTTTGTGGGTGTAGATGTGGGAACAGGAAGCGTTCGAGCAGCTCTGGTGGCTTCAAATGGAAAATTAATAAAAGTGGCTACATGTCCACTCGAAATCTTTCATCCTGCCCCAAACTTTTACGAACAATCCTCTGAAAACATTTGGAGCGCTGTGTGCCATGTTGTCAAGGTCGAAATGAGATTTATGCTACAGCAGTGCAATTAAAATTTATATTAAAGTAGGTCTAATTAATTCTTATGTTATTTACAGTCAGTTGTTGCTGATATCTCAGCAGAAGATGTTAAAGGAATTGGTTTTGACGCCACTTGCTCAATGGTGGCTATAGATAAAACAGGCTCACCAGTAACAGTCAGTCTTACAGGTACAGAGATGAGATTGGCAGATATTTTGTGATTCTTAATTTGCGTAAAAAAATTGTATAATAATAATATTAATATAACATAAAAAATTAATGTACTAATTGTTTAGGACAGGAGAAACAGAATGTCATACTATGGATGGATCATAGAGCGCAGGAGGAAGCCAATTTTATCAATTCTACAGGCCACGATATACTGCAATATGTAGGCGGCAAAGTTTCTCTCGAGATGCAAACACCAAAAATGCTGTGGCTGAAAAAAAATTTACCTGCTTCCTGGAACTCTGTAGCGCTACTGTTTGATCTACCAGATTTTTTAACATGGAAGGCAACCGAATCGGAATCACGGTATAAATTCTAGATACATAAATTTATTGAAAGTAATTACGTAATATTTCTTATCTTTATTTTTTATTTTAGATCGTTGTGTTCGTTAGTATGCAAGTGGAATTATAGCGCCAATCCTGATGGCAAGAATGGATGGGATGAGGATTTCTTCGACCAACTTAATTTACGGGACTTAAAGAAAGATAATTGGAGAAAAATAGGTACATTGTTGTATTTTATATTAAAAATAAAGAAAATTTTTTAAAGAAAAATTTTTTGCCTAATTTTCAGTAATTATAAAAAAATCAACTTCAGAAATATCGTACACTAAAATCATTAAAAATTAATGGATTCTTCAATTAGTTTTAGTATTAAAAAATATTTCTATAGATCTCTATAGAAATTCTATACATGTCAGCATAAACTTTATGACTGATTTATATAAATTTTTAATTTATTGATTTTTAGTTTATTGTATTATAGTCTATTTTAGTCTATAATAAAAGCAAATATTTATGTCAAGGTAATAATGTACGAGTCCCCGGCGATGCGATTGAATCTGGATTATCAACGAAAGCTGCGGCGGAATTGGGATTATTGAAAGGTACACCAGTGGGAACGTCGCTGATTGATGCACACGCCGGTGGCCTTGGCATGGTCGGGTGTTATGCGCCAGACGTGTCTTCGAATTTCTCCAATCGACTGGGTACGCAAAATACTGTCGACGATATGTGTTGTTTACTGGAAAAAAATGTATCACAGATTATTTTACATTTTCAGCTTTGATTTGCGGTACATCGACGTGTCACATGGTTGTAAATGAGAACAAGATATTTGTACAAGGCGTTTGGGGCCCATATTATAGCGCAATGGTGCCTAGTTTCTGGCTCAACGAAGGTGGTCAAAGTGCTACTGGAAAGCTCCTTGATCACGTCATCGATACGCATCCCGCAACGCCAGGAATCCTGAAAAGTTTAGCTGGAAACAAGTGAGTTTCTCGAAAGGATATCGATATGATGAGAGAACTTCTATACATTTCTTCTATTATTTCAGACACATTCAACAATACTTGTCGGAATTATTGCACGTAATGGCTGAGCAGAAAAATCTACAGAACGTATCGTACCTGACGAAAGATATACATGTGTGGCCTGATTTTCACGGTAACCGTTCGCCTCTTGCTGATCCAAGTCTTAGAGGAATGGTATTGACACATATACTGAATTTTTTTCATTAATATACTTTGAAAATCGATATACACTTTTGCACTGTTATCTTAGGTATCCGGATTATCCTTATCTGTGGATCAAGAGAACTTAGCGTTATTATACTTAGCAACAGTACAGGCGTTAACGGTATGTTATATAAAAAGTAGCTATTTAGAAATTCCATTAGAACTCATGATACACAGAATTTTAAATCAATTATCACAGTTATTGTACTAAAAATGTGTAACAAAAAAATTGAAGATTATTACTAGAATTATTTATATTAAAATTTTAATTTTCTAGAATGAGAATTTATTGATGGATTGATAAATATGAGAAATATTATTATATAAAATATAAAATAAATACTCACTTTTGCTTATAATATTGTATTAATTTCTACAGTATGGTACGAAGCATATAATTGAAACCTTGACGGCTGCCGGCCATAACATCGAGACTATACTGGTTTGTGGTGGTCTTAGTCAGAATCCGCTGTTTATTCAAATCCAAGCCGACGTGTTGGCGTTACCAGTACTCTGTCCTGTGGAACGAGAATCAGTTTTGATCGGCGCGGCGATCCTTGGAGCATGTGCCACGAAAAAATATTCTATGCAAGAGACTATCAAAAGAATGGCAGGATTAGCAAATATAGTGAAACCAACGAGCGAATGTTACAAGTAAATATGCAAAGAGCATAAAAATATACAGATTAGTTCTAAAAATATATTGCATTAACATTTAAATTTTTTACAAAAAAGAAAATCAGCTTTAAAAATATAAAAGAAAACAGTTCAATTATTATCTACAATTTATCACAGAGTGCTATTTATTATATAACTACTTATAATTATTTCAGATATCATCTTCGAAAATATCACGTATTCAAGAGAATGGTTCAGGATCAACAAGAATACAGGAAATTAATGAGCGAAGAATTATAGTTCAATCTCTTTTACCTTTTTAGCCTAAACGAGTTAAGAATAGGCTGTGTTCGATGAATATTTTCGCAATTGGTAGTTTTAGTAAAGATAAACGTTCTGCGAATATTCGATAAACTTTCATAAAGAATCTCTGAAACTAAAATGTGAACGTTGTATAAATTTTAAAATAACTTTATTGGTACAAATATTGGAAAAGATACCAAATGGATAGTAGTATAGTGGTACATAATTATAATTGTTAATTTAGCACAGAAAACAGTACTTTGTGACGACAAGACACTGTTTTCTGTAGTTGATCTAATCCTACTATCTAAAAGAAGACAATGCTTTTATTATATTACATATTTTTATATTCATTTAATTTTTGATCTACTTTGTAATATAAAAATAGACCAATATATAGAATATATAGAAACTTGTACACAGAAAATATTCCATGTAATAAAACTATATTACGATCTGTATTATTTGTATGCAGATCTTTTTATTTACAAACAATATTTTATTAATAAATTTTTCATAAATCAGAAGTTTTCTATTTTTCCATACATATCTATCTCCTTTTTCTCTGTCTTAAAAAAGACATCTTTAAGACGTCCTAAAAACATCCTAAAAAAGGACATTTTTTAATTTCTTTAACAATTGGCATTCTAAATTTTACAACAAAAAACTTATCAAAAATTTTAAAAGACGTTTTATTTAATAATTATTTAAGTGTTTACGAGCATCTTAACCTAACCTAACCTAACCTAACACTGTCAAAAGTAGCGACAATAAGCATGTAGAAAGATTAGGGTTATCCGTTGGAACAGTCTAAAACGCTCCGACTAAAACGCCGGAATTTTATGAAATTGTAACAGGAGCACACGATGATATAGGAGGTTGTTAACAGGAGCACATGATAATGCAGGAGCTCTACTCGTAACAGTGCAATCTATTGATTAACTAAAGCAACATTAAGAATACATTGATGGTAAGTGTACCGACTGCACAGTGAGTGAGCTCCTATATCATCATGGCTGTGTTCGGGGAGCGCGCTATCAGCGCTATTGCATCTTTCTATCTTTATCGTTCATTAGACATAAAACAAGGATAGAACGACACAATAGCGCTGATAGCGCGCTCCCCGAACGCAGCCCATGTGCTCCTGTTACAATTATCCAAAATCCCAGCTAAAATGGAGTGTAAGAGAGGAGACAGAAATAGTTCGTCTGCTCTCTTCTAATGTCCAAAGCTAGCCGAAGCGTGGAGCTCATATGTATGTAACGTGGCTTGTGCATGTGTCCGGTATTCCCTCCCTTATGCTGCTTGCGTCTCAATCTGGCGTCATTGCTTTTGACACATCTCTTTCTCTTCAGTTCCCACCGTTTCATTAATTGTGCTACGTGAAGGTTAGGTACTGTTTACTTGTCAAATCCGTAGCGTCGGGGGAGAAACGTAGACGAAACATGAGAGAAATCTGAAGAAGAGCGACCAGACGCTTTCGCGGAAATCATGTTTTTCCCCGTAGGATGGCCGCGAGTTCTAAATTCCAGCGAATCCAACAAAATAAACGCTGTAGTGTGTAACAGAGACAAAATTCTCTTTGCCGTTCTTACCACGGATGCTCTCACCATCTGGTATTGCAAGGCACGTAATTTAGATCAAAAGGAATTTATTATCATACAATTTATTATCTTAGAATTACTCTCCATTCTCTTTGCTAGTAAAGAGCACGTTAATAGTTTCATATTTTGAATATCTGTTGGAGACAAAATATGATTATCTTATCATAAATATTTGCTTATCTATTGCTTAAATTTGCTTAAATAATAATCATATAAGAAAGGAATGTACTTGATTTGTCTTGAGATTAACATGCTCAAGTTTTTTTCTTTATATATTTACCGTGTTTTATATTTTGTAGAATTTTGTACATATTACATTGCACATTGTTAACCTATGCATGAGCCTTTTTGTAATTTCTGTGAAGATATGTCTTTAAGATATGGATTTAATAATTTATGATGCTCAAATATATGTTGCAGCCTTGTGTGCCAATTGTATTTAGCAGAAGATCTTCAGTTTCTCTGCGAAAGCATGGAGAGAATGTTTTGGTTCAATGGAGACCAGATTCAAGTATGCTGGTTATTGCAACATCGGATAGCTATCTGTTGTTCTATCGGCTCTCGGACAATAGTCCAGAGGGCCGGGGACTCTATGAGCAACGAGATTCTCCAGTCACTAGCCTGAAACGAGATAGCGCAGAATTATTCATTAAAGAAGTTATTCCATCTCTTATCTTAAATTTCGTAAGCTTTCTATGCAATTATCATTGTAAACGTAGTAAAAGTGTTTTAATGAGAAAATAGATTATAAAATAAATTTAACTATTAAATTATTTAGTTTATTGAGATAAAAAAACAATGAATTCATAGTTGTTTGCTTACTTTGCAGGAGAAGTCTGCTTGGATTGATGGTGGAATTAGTTCGTTAGTTTGTATAAGAGACGAACTCATGGTAGCAACCAAAACTAGCCATGTCGTACGCCACAAGTGGGACGGCACCATGAACCGCGACTATTCTTTGGACTTGAGACGTATACCGTTCAGTAGTGATCAACAAATCTCTACTGTAGCTGTACCACTCACGGAGAACAATATCTATGTCACTGATATCGAATATTCGCCTCTCGTTGGAGGTTTTGCTATTGTGCTTAGCAATGGCAAAGCCGCATTTCTTACTGCTCAATCTTTGAAGTTTGATCCCAATCAAGTGCAAGGCATCTGGGCTCGAGATTTGGATGATGCCACTTGTGCCGCTGTTAATCACAAATACCGGCTAATTGCCATTGGTAGACAAAAGTGAGCATTCTCCTTTTAATATCTGTTATACAATTTTGATAAATTTGTAAATGTATCTAAAAGAAAAGTGCTTATATTTTTTTATTAATGTAATCTTATTACTACAAATATTTTTAAAAATATCTACAAATTGATATATTTTTAGTATTACAATAGTAATGCAAAATATTATAAAATTAAACTGTTTAATTTTAGTAACTTTGTTACCTATGTAACACAATTAATGCAACTTATATTTGGCGTTTGATTTGCAGCTCGGAAGGTATTGTTTATTATGTCGACGAGACAACAGGAGGTTTAGAGATGTCACACACTCTGAGTCTATCCTCCAAGGATTACCCAGGTCGACCAGGCAGCGTCAAGTGTCTTAGATGGACGCCGGACAGCTGTGCTATCGCTCTGGCTTGGGAAGGTGGCGGCTTAGCATTGTGGAGTACTTTTGGCGCTCTCTTGCTCTGCAGTTTAAAATGGGACTACGGCCTACGAGTGGATCTGACGCATGACAATCCTCTGTTCATTCATACGATGGAATGGTCAGCAGAGGGTTATCAGTTGTGGATGTTACGCGAATCTCCAGGACCTTCGGTTACCGAGGAAAACGGCAACGAAATGTCCAATTTAAGTCGTTCTCTTATTCAGTTGGATTTCGCTAAAAGCCCTCTGACCATTAATCCATGCATGGGCCATCACGGGCATCTGTATCTTCAAGGCGAGGATAGACTGTATTTGAATCTAGGCGCTGGATTATCCTCGACGGCTTCTGGTTTTCATCTTGCCGCTGAAATGCCTAACGACAGCATGCTTCAGACACTCGCCGGCTGCAAGCAGTGGCTCGTCGTGCCCATTCCGTCTGCGTACAGCGGTTCCAATTGGCCAATTCGGGTAAATATGAGATCACGTTCGAAGAGACGAACGTTTCTTAGAAATCTCAATAACGATTTTTATATTACTAAAATTTAGTTTGATCTTGTTAAAGTATTATAGTGTTATCAATAATTAAATTGGCTATATTGACAATATTAATAAAATATCAAAGTGTTTTTCTTATATTTAATATATCTTACGCATTATATTTATTTACGTGTATGTGTGTCTGATAACAGTATACTGCAATAGACAGCGAAGGTTTGAGTCTTGCGGTAGCTGGTCGAACGGGACTGGCGCATTATTCTCTACCGTCGAGAAAATGGAAGCTGTTCGGCAATGAGAGTCAGGAGCGGGACTTCATAGTGACTGGTGGACTACTGTGGCACAAAGGATATCTTATAGCCAGCAGTTATTCCATTTTGGACGATAAAGACGAAATTAGGATTTATCCACGTGACTCCCGACTCGATAACAATTATGTTAGGAGCGTTAAGATGCCCTCGCAAGTATTATTATTGAATACGATGAAGGACAGACTCTTGACGTTTTGTGCCAATGCTCAGATTAGTATTTACGATATGGTATTGCAAAATGACGTTGGTGAGTAATAAGATTTTTCTGCTTGTAAGCTAAAATAAATTACAAATTAATTGTAAAAGTTAATCCTTATTAAATAAAATGGTCGTATTGATATTTTAGAAGCTGGTGGTATCGAGCTGACGAGAATACAAACGGTGGACATCAGCGGACTGTGCATACATCCCGCTTGCGTGGTTAGCGCCACATTAACTACGATTCGCGCGGAGACCGCCGGTAGTCATCCTCATCCCGAAAGTCTTTTGCTAAACGTCTCCGGACGTCTCCTCATGGTGCAACGCGAACATTGCTCCGACAATTCGGAAGTCCTGTTTACGTGCGGCGCGCCGACGGTGTTGGCGTCCTACGTCGAGAACGTATGGGTGCCGTCGCGCTCGAGGAGAGACAAGCCTCACTTAACCGAGGCTTTGTGGCTGTTCTGCGGCGCACATGGCATGCGGGTTTGGCTGCCGCTATTCCGTAACCATCAGGAAAAGGCGCACGCCTTTATGAGCAAACGAATAATGCTGCCTTTTCACTTGCGCATCTATCCATTGGCGATACTCTTCGAAGACGCGATTCTACTCGGAGCCGAAAACGACACTGTGCTATTCACATCGGATACTAACTCGCCATTTTCACTGCCTTTCAATTTATTGGAGCTGACGGTAATTTCACTCTTTGCCAAGTAACTAAAAGCATAAGAATGTTGATTTTAGAACTTTACTATTTAAATTCATTCCTTGTCACTTTTAACTGCCTAGAAAAAATGATTGTACGATATTTCAGAGCCAAGTGTATCTGCATCAGATCCTGCGCCAATTGATACATCGAAACTTGGGCTATCACGCGTGGGAAATAGCGCGCTCCTGTTCCGCATTGCCGTATTTTCCGCACTCGTTGGAGCTGTTGCTCCACGAGGTCCTCGAGGAGGAAGCGACAAGTAAGGATCCTATTCCGGATGCTCAGTTGCCGTCCGTCGTGGAGTTCATCCGCGAGTTTCCCGGCGTTTGGGCCAGAGCTGTTGTACAATGCGCCCGCAAAACCGAAATCGCCCTTTGGCCGTATCTGTTTTCCGTCGCCGGTCCGCCGAAGAAGCTACTGCAGGATTGCTTGCAGCGTCAGCAGCTCGATACCGCCGCCAGCTACTTGATCATTCTACAAAATTTAGAACCATCCTCCGTCAGCAGGCAGCATGCCACGTTACTGTTGGACGCTGCTTTAGAGCAAGGTAGATGGGAACTGTCGAGAGATCTTGTGAGATTTCTCAGAGCAATCGGTAAATATTTTTGTGCATTTTTATAAATGCAAATTATACATACATTTCCTAAATTGTACATTAAACCTCTTATTGTTTATAGATCCAAATGACGTGGAGTCGCCGCGTACATCGTGGGGCGGTAGTTCGAAATTGGGTGGGGTGAACCCACCGCAGACACCTCCTCTTTCTCCGCATGAGGACGATCTCTCCTTGGTCTTGGGCACTATGCAAGTTTCTCGAAGCCGCAGTTACAGCACTACGGTCACGCCCAAAGTGCAATCTGAAAAAGACACCGCGCCGTCCTCTATGCTCGAGAAAACCCGGAATGTTGTCATGAGGCGCAAGAAATCCGTTCCTACGGTGAAAACTGCTGAAAAGACTGAGAACAAGTAAATATTAAATCTTTACATTTGGAGATAAATGTATTTCGAAGTTGTAGGAACAGTATTTAAGACGGTTAGTATCAAAATATACAAAATAACAGATAAAAATCTATGTAAAAAAACAAATTTTATAGATTTTATTTTATTTTATTTTATTTTATTTTCGTTATTTAAGAAATCTCATTTTTGTATGTTATTTTAAGAAAATTACATGTGTATTTTAGTATAAATTGTTATTTAGAATAATTTTTTCATAAAATTAAACGAAATAAAAATTTTTCTTTTCAGGGAAGGATCGGCGGAGGAGTTCTTCATTGATGTTATTTTGCAACGTCACGCGCGGCGGCTGCTTTCAGCCCGCCGTTTGACCGATTTGGGGCGATTCGCGGCCCGTCTTGACTTCCACTTAGTGACATGGTTCGGTCGAGAGCGTGACAGAGCTGCAAAAATCGATGACTATGTTGCAACTTTGAAAGCGGTCCACGAGGACTTCGCGTTTCCATACCCGACACTTTCGCTGCCGACGCTGCAGAAATTTCGGAGATCCAGCCTTACCTCTCTACATTCTGTAATGTCCGATGACGAGACCTTGTCTCCGAACTTGGCTATTGATCTACCTGATAGCGGATACACTAGTCTTCCAAGTGGTAGGCCACCGTATACATCGTTGGTCTCACCCGTCGCCAGCTTAGAGACGCAGTTTCCTACTGCGGAAGCCAAATTAACACCGAATTTGATAAATGGTGAGTTGTGCAGCGTTAAATTTTATTGACTTTTCTGCAAATTTTCTTACGCTGCAAATCTCTCTGTGTCTTTGGCGAAAAGTCTTCGTAAATAACTTTCTGCATGCTGCACAATTTCAGATGCCAACAGTGTTCTTAGTGATACTAGTACGATTTGGAGGGATGATGCAGAGTCCATTGTGTGTTGGGTCTCGCCGGAATCGGTGGGACCTACAGAAGTCAATCCGGTCTCCGCACCAATCGGTCGAGCAGAAGTGCAGCTTAGGTATTGATATGTCCAATGTTTTAACACGTTAAAAATGTCTTATTAAAAATCTCCGTTTCATACATATCTGCTTTTAAATTTTTGCAGGTATTTATTGCAGCTATTTCTTGAAGGCAGTTGTCTAGGATGGGCTGCAGTAGTGGCTACTGTCCTTCGAGACGCAGCGGCCATGGCTAGAACCGTTAGAACAGCTCACGCCCCGATGCAAACTTTCGACTCTATAATTAATCTAAGAGATGGATTGCTCACATTAACCAAATGGTCTCATTCAGAATGGTACGTTTTATCCTAACATATCTATGTTTGTAACATAATTGCATACATTGAACTATTTGAAATATTGGAAATTAGTAATTTTGCTTTAACGAATTTGAAGTCTATTTGCAAAAATATTTTGAACATTTTGAGTCTAATTAGGAATTTATAAAATTCAACCTTAAATCTTTGCAGAAAAATATTACAATACAAAAATCATCAAAGATGTGTATATTTAACATTTATTCGATATTATAATTAAACTAATAATACAATTTTTAATTAAAAAAAACGATTATATATTGTGATTGCAGCTTAGGATATCGTCCCTTCATGTCCAATATACAAGGGCAAATATCGCTCTTGAATAGACTCGTGATAACTAAGCAGCAGGAACAGGAGCAGATACCGGAGAGTCCTTCGCCGAGCCCGGCACCATCCGCTGGCAGCAATCAGCGCGGTACTCTCTCCCGATCGAGGCATTCGTCGATCAGTCACGCTTCCAATACAGCTCCGCTCGAAGAGGAACGCTCGCACGAGTGTTCATCCTTGACCGTCGAGGAATCGGTATTCCACGGAAGTTACAATAATAATCTCAATGTCGCGGAAGAAATCATTCCGTCACAAAATACTTGCGTGATCTCTTAAAGATGCCTTACGAGGCACAAAAAGCTATGGCTGTCCATTTTGCTGTGGATTTTACATACCAAAAGAATTCTTTTCACGTAAGTCTCCGCCGTCTAAGTTTTACATACACAAGAGATCTTACTCATTAACATTTCAAACATAAAAATTCCACAATTATTGTTTTAAAGAGATTCTCTCTGTTCTAATATTGATATATTGATACTCTGAAAGATATAAATATATATAAATATTATTGTAGTAATCATTAAGGATGATTTTGTAAGGCAATACTGTTGTGCAAGTTGATACCGATAGTTCCCGTTTAATATAAGTTATTTCAGAAATTCTCGTAGCTCAAAAGAATCCCGAAAATTTGTAAATAAGGCTTGGAAGGCGTTTTTTATTGATTTTACATCGCAAATTTTGAATTGTACAGGGTGAAACGTGTAAAAATTGACTCACGTGTATACAAATAGACATGATATTGTTAAAATATACATTGCGTCGCGGAAGATGGAATTTAGAGATGTGCAAGGTCGCGGTTCTAAAATGATTTTACTACTGCGTATAAAAGTACGTGCACGAAATGCACACTGGCTCATTTATTAATTGTGGGCAATAGTAAATAGCAATATAAAGAGGCCAATGGAACAGTGATTCAGAAATATTAAATCAAAATCGACGCATCAAGAGGTCTGATATTATATAATAATAATTATGTAATACACAATGCGATGAGAATTATTAATAAGCTATTTATACATATTGTAACATAGATAGATATATAAATATATGTTATATTTTCCCATAAAAACCATTGCTATTTTATTATGTATCAGAAAATATATGTTCTTTGTTAGTTTGATGAACAAATTGATTTAAAAAGAATATAAATAAATAAATAAGATATCAAAATATAAAAAACTATAAAAACTTATTTAAAAAAATATAAAAAAACAATTAAAAAGAAGTACATAAAAATTTGAAACATTAACTTATACAAAAACAATATTTTATAATTTAAATATATGTACATATAATTATAGTTTTAAATGTAAAAAAAGAACGATATCTCCGGAATAATTGCGCTATCTTTAACATGTAACATTTTTATCCGACAAAATTTTGCTTTTCTAAAAAAAAAATCCAATCTGAAACAATCGAGAAATAAAAACGTTACACATACAATCTGCATTAATCAAACTGACAATCAAAATTTTAGGTTTTATATGACTTGCGCTAAATCAAAAGGACAATGATTAATGATTTATAAAATACGATGAATACGATATTTATTTCTTTTTGCCATTCCGCAAATCGTCATTGTTTTCCTTTTTTAATTTGATGATTTATTAGCGCTTAATCTATATTAATTGAATCTAAATTTTGATTCTATTTGCTATTACTATTTTGTCATTTATATTCCGAGAAATTTTATAGAGAATATTTCTCGCGCAGGTATTTCACATATTATTTGCATGTGACATTTCCTTCATTCGAGCCGACTATCCTCTAAACGCAACGATTACTCAACGTAGGAAAGTCCACCTTTATCCTGCAGTATAATTAGGGAAAGGTAGTATTGCATTGCGATTGAAAGTATTTTCTAGCGAAATGTCGTTTTCCGATCCGCTGCTAGGATTTCTACGAACGTATAAATCTATGAAGCAATAGGTTTTTTTTACACAGTTACGATTTAGTGCTATTCATAGAAGACACGCTTATCGTAATCCGAAAAAATGTGATCCTTGTGAAAGAAAGACGGAAAACACAGCTGCAAAACACAAGAATGCAAATAGTTTCGCGTTCTTTCACGAGACTCGCATTCTTAAACTATCTTGCAGAAACACGTGTAAAAATGATCAGCATTATATTGTTTCTATAAACCACAGATATTTGAATAAACCTTCTATGGAATTTTGTTAACAAATGTTTAAAACAAGATAATAAAAAGTCCAAGAATCAAGGATGATGATAAAACAAATTCCGACGCGTAATAAAGAAAAATTAAAACGATCGATTATCGATATATTATTTTTTCCTCCTATTTCTACAATAAAAATTTGCTTGCAGTCTTATGATTGTAATATTATAATTAATTAGTCATAAAATTTTTTTATCTACTTTTTTTTGCTACGATTAATTTTTCCACAAATCGAGATAGTTGATTCAAGTAAATTCTTCATTCTTGCAGCTTCTGATTTTAATTAAATCTATAAAATATATATGTTATGTGTTAATCAAAATCAATAAAATATCTTATTGTTAGAAGTTTCAGTTATTGTTGTTCATGATTGATAAATCCGTAAAAGAATCCGATAAAAAATTGAAGCATTCCGTCTTCATCATAAATTTTGTATCTATAATATTTTGCATGCGGGACACAACGTAATGCCTCATTCATCTTGTTTAAAAGACTACATTTTCATGTTATGCTACATGATTGATGAATTTAGATCTACATAATAGTAATGTTAATAGAAAGTGATAGTTTTTTCATATGCGTCTATTTACGCGTGTATTTAACGTGCTATGTGGGTCGATCATTTAAATCAGATACATATTATAATCACGAAACAGTAAAATGTAAAATGTAAACAAACACGTCAGTCGTTGACGCGCTTTCATATTATAAAGACGGACACGTTCTGTTATTAGTTGAAAAGTGAATGTCCTGTGCGTAGAACGTGCGTGCATACTCGATCGGAGTTCACGAGTGACGCAAGTTCATCTTATCATACGTCATTCCTTTTACGATTTATAACGTCTAAAACAATAAGACAAAGTACAATGATTGCTGTTTTTTTCGAAACTCAAACTGAGAGTGCTGAAGGGTAAGAATGAAGCGACGAGAAAGTTAATTTTCTAAATAGTTTTTTTGAATTTAAAAATGTGAAGGACAAACTTTTTTACAAATTCTTCAAAAATTTTTTATCTCTAGCCGTGAAATAATATTATTATTTACATCTTTATATTCTTATACAACATTATATTATTATATTCAATGCATATAATTAGACGACTAAATAATAAGACTTATTTTGATCAATCTCTTATCTCATAATTATAAATTTAAAAAAATTTTTTTTTTCAAATATGACTTTAAGCTGCAAATTATAGACCGGCTGTTTCATAAACCGTTAACAGGCGTCATCATAACAATGATGCTGTAAATCTATCAAAACTATTGACGCCTGACTGCACCATTAAAGTTTTGAGTGAGAAATATGAGAGAAGTATATCGTCTGCAAACTGGTATTTTGCAGAAACAATACAAATCAATTAAGCTATTATATTAATATACAATGGAAAGTTTCTCCACGTGACGATATTTTCATGTTAAAATACGTGTAAATGTAAAAATTTAAAGAAGTATATATTATCTTTGAAATGATGACTATTTCGTGTTAACGTGATAAGCAATCGTAAAATTGAACACGGACAAAGTATTTTATTGTCGAAATAGTACTTCGTAGAAACAATGAGTGAGACATTGCATGCGGAGGATATTGCTGGAAATCTACTTGCGTGATAGCACTTTCGCGTTCGAATGGTACGCAAACGTAAGATCGAACATGCGATATCTTCATAGTGTCTTCGTGATATTACGATCGTTAAACTTTTTTATTTAACGTTTCCAGTTTTCCTCAATATAGGTTTTTGATTACAATGCACGGAATTCCCCGGAAATTCCCTTAATTTGCATCTAATGAACAGCACTTGCGTCTGACTGCGTTTATCACGGATGAATAGACGCGAGGCATTGAAATACGAGCTAATCAGCTGCAGCGCTTAATTAATTTATCGCGATATTAACCGCTGATTTCACGCATATGTGAACCTTTCGTGGTCATTTCGTTCTATATTCGGGGAATTATATTCCCCGAATATAATTCGCGAATGACGTTGTTCCTGCGTCAACGATGGGTACATCGCTGCAGTTGTTGCTGTTGCGCATTAACGGGAATCAAGGCTACAATTATCAAATAGGTGCGGCATCTTTTTTGCAGTATTAAGATGTATTATGTTAAACATGTACATATGTCGTGAGAAGTCACGTGGCAATTTTAATAAGACAAAATTTCCGTGACGTGATAATCATGGAAGTTCAATAGATCATTAGAGATTCACGCGGCAAAAGTCGGCGCGACACGCGCAACCATTTATCTTTGAGAACTGTAAGAGGCTGCGGGAGAGCTTATAGCATTGTTTAATTCGTCAACAGTGTGCGGCTTCCTGTAACTATTATGCTAAATATCAGTTCTACGAGGGGGTCGTATATTACGTTGTTTGTTTCACGCATTAAATCCAAGGCGACCGTCGTTTAATGGTTGTTTATGCGCGAAATTTGGAGCGCGTGCTTTCGCTTAGGTGACCGTTACGTCACTTTCTCGCACTTAATCGAAGATGCGTCATAAAATTCGACGAATTAAATCGACAAATCCTAATTGTTTAGATTAGCCCAAGAATCGTTAAACTAAAAGAATGATGGCGATATTTGATGGCGAATGATATCGATATTTTGGGGGATAAAAATATTTTAATACATTAAAGCATCAATTTCATTACAAAAACAGTCCTTTTGCAACGCTAACAGTGGTTTGTTTTACTAAAAAAAAAATGAAGAAAAATTAAATTCAGAAAAATGAAGCTCTAGAGAGATGTCATGAATAAAATAATTAAATAATCCATGTTTTTAGATCTTTTAAATAATGACAGAATATGCATTTGAAAATATACTTATAAAATAAATTAAAAACTGAAAAAATGTCTGGAAAAGGATAATGTGATCGTTTAATGTGCTATTTACGGTCTAACGTTCCTCGGGTCTCTGAACGGGTCGATTCGATATAAATTTGTTGTCGAACCGCTCCTTGGCACCGGCGTGTTATCAGATTGACGGCGGATCAACTGAAAGCACGTGACCGATTAAAATGCCGCAAAACAACAGGATTACCTTGAAATTTCACTGCTGATACGTTTGCGAAAATGATTAAAGCTTGATTACTCGCACGGGACTAGTCACGGGACTTAGCGGATGATGTAAATATTTAATGAAACTGAACACTTGACACAATTGAAATGATACATTTAATACAGCAGCTGGTAGTGGTTCTCCACATTTTTATAATTGTGAGTCATCTAACCAAGACATCGATTTCTCAAGACTTGCAAGACTTGCGTAACTTTTAGTAACTGGTTTGTAAACTTTGAGAAATCATCTTATAATTTAATAATGCAATTCAATAAAGACAAACCAAAATTCACAACAGCTAAGAAAATATAAACATTCATAAAATATCATAAATTTTTAATTTTTTTTAATATAATTTTTTCAGGAAAATACATCCGCGTATTTTTTCAACAGACGTTCCGATAAATTCCAATCCTTTAGAAATTTCATGACATTGAATATTTTTAATATCTTACAAATAATGATAAGGAAAGTTAATGTCACACACTGATTCGTGTTTGTGAGAGTCTCTTCGATTTACGTCAGAGATGCAAACTCGCGGTTACTTTCGACGAGGTGTTATGTCGCAACCAACTGGTGAATAAAGTTATAACCAATATTTTAATTATTAATATCAACATTCGAATATTAAGTATGCGTGTATTTGCATTTAACGAGCATTAATTGCGCGATGACAATTAAATATAATTTACGAGCGCAGTATCAATATTTATAAAACCGTTGATTAAGAATATGGAAAATGCTAACCGCATGATTAATTATTCAGCTAAAACAATATTCCGCGAAAAGATACTACATCAAAGATTCCCAGCCTATTGGAACAGTTGGATAGTAGTATGCAATAATACATCAACTTGGAAAATTAAAAGAAAAATTTAATACTAATAAAATGTATCGACATGTTATATCAATTTCTAGATGTATTAATATTTGAAATAGATTTTCAAAAATTATAATACATAAAAGAAAGACGGAAAAAAACTTGAAAATTTTTTTTAATTTGTCGCAAATAAGTAGACATTTTAAGAATTTTTTAATGTCAAATGATAGAACATAAACGTAATATAATACGATTCCAACTAATGTAAAATATTGTCAAAAGCGATTAATATGTGCAATAATTAAATAATTCATTCATTCAAAAAATTCTTCCGTAACAACAGATGTTCTAGATCCCCTGTTTTCGCGATTTTAACACCTTGCCGTATCTGTATCAAGTGACGATAGCAATCGAGATTATATATCATCTATCTATCATTACGCATTAAATCCGAAACGCGAGACGCAAATATGTTTGCTCAATGAAATCCGCCGTCGTGAGAGAAGCGTGAAAACTTCTCTGCGTGTTTTATAGCGTTTGACAATTCGTTTGCATTACCAACTAGCAATTTATCTGTTTGCAAAGTGTGCTACAATTCAGGCACCCAGGTGTACCGACGCGATAGGAGCACTGCTATTTGACATAATTAATCTATCCTCGAGTCTAAGTAAAATGACTAAACAAATATCTAACAATGAAGATACCTTATCTAAATATCAATAAAGAATTTCATATACCAAATACATACGGAATTGATATTATATCATATCAATTACACATTAATGTTTTTTTTGTACAACTCATCAATGTTTATTTTTTAATAGAAAATATTTTGTAATATTTAATATAGAAAGGCAGCGTCGAAGAAAGTAACGCGTAGTGCAACGTTGCACAATATTATTGAATGCTTATCAAAAATAGTTAATGGAGAATTTGCACGAAAGGTTTCATGTTTCTCTCGCAAACGCCTCCGTAATGAATTTCTTAAGTAAACATATTTTCGTCCTGTCGGATTAAATATTTAGTGATAGAGAGATGATATATAATCATAATTGTTTTCGTGAACTAATGCAGATAAAAGGATATAAAATGTCTAAATTTGGAAAACTAGAAAACATCATAATGTCACTTTGTTTTAGATATCAATTATTCGCGTTGTGTTCACCAGTAACGTTTCTTTTTAATTATTAAAAATCTGAATTTGTTAAAAGTAGCCTCGATATTTAAAAAAATGATAATTGAATAATATAAATATTTATTTATAAAAATAATTTTATACGTTTTAAATCAGAGGTGAGTTTGACGACAATTAATAAAGCAATAAAGATGGATGATTAGAATGAATAGACATCAATTTGAATAAATTTGCAATTAGCAATATAATTTTTCTTATCGATGTCTATTACATACGCTATCAAACTGATACTATGCTCGATATAACTCTAAGAAAATGAAATATGTATTAAAATATCAAGCGCAATTTATCTCAAACATTACAACATGTTATTTCTCAAAGAAAGAAAAGATAAATTGTATTAACACTTTGTAACAATTAAATACTCAAGTGCACAGATTAAATATTATCGATAAACCGGAAGGACTTACAGTGAGTACGGTGTCCACCGACGGAAATTCAGTCTTATCGCAACATCGGAATTTTTTACGATCGACCGATTGCTGGAAGCGATGGATATTAATTGAACGCTCGTTATCTCATAAATATAAATAGCGCTCTTAGTTGAAATTTCATGCATTACTTGACTGACGGAGGATCTCGCAGGAGCTTTTCAGCCTGGCGTCCGAAAATTTTTAACTGATCCGCACGGATGTGCGGCACATTTTATATGCTAGAATATTCTCTCGGCGGCGGGCAATGTACCGATAGCGCGTGATCGGCGATCGAATCGAGTTCCACGGCGGTCGATCCGAAGCCGGGATCGTTTGCCATCACGTGACGATTAATGCGGTTCTGTTGACGTCATGCGGGGGAGGCTGAGGTCGCCGAGGAGAGAGGGAGTGCGCCCCGTTTGTGAAGCGCGACGCGTTTAAATGGCCGGTCGCGCGTCGCCGCGAACTCAGTTTCGTCATTGCGCCGTGAAAATCGGTCCGAAATCTCGCATATCTTTTGAGACACATAAATACTTATATTTACACTTCATTGCAATATTGTTTATAAATTTACTGCATCGCATTACCTCATTTTCGCGTTTTGTTTTAACGTTTCTCCAGCGCTGAGGAGGCCGGAAGCTGAAGAGCGTTATCGAGATTCGCGAAGGCATCGCGCAGCGAATGTTCGTCTTTTTCGCTGGCGAGTGTTCTGTTGACGGAAATTGACATTTTAACGAGAGACCATCCGCGCAATGTTTCGAAGTAGTAAAGAGAAGCATTTTCGGAATTGAACACAGAAACGAAATTTGAATTCCTCGAGGAAGAAAACTGACGCGTTTTAACGCTTCACGACCTTTCTTCCTCTTAGCAAGAAGATCTTCTGAGAAATCAACCGGAAACGAATCTTCTCAAAGTACTTAGCAAACGTTTAAGTAAGTGTAATTTTTATCATATCCCGCTTTATTTTCATGTCTTTCTAAAACAATCAGCATTTGCATTTAAATAAAAATTGTTATAAAATATTGAAAAAAAATTATAGTTTACCATAATTTTTTAATTAATTTTTTGGTGAATAAGTTTTGAAATTGTGCAACTTAAAAATATAAAAATTACTTATATTTGTTATCAAAGTAATTGTAAAATTATCATCTACCATCTGGAATAATTTTTTTGTGCAATCTAATTGATTTATGTAACAAATATAAATATAATGAACCAGGAACAAAAAAAATTAAAAAAATTATAACGATGTTATTATTGTATAATAATGTCTAAGAATGCTACGACATAAATTTTACATAACGTAAAATAAGTTTCCACTTATCATAATTATGAACAGGAAACCAAAATAACGATGTTTGCGACGTATACATAATCATCAGGAGCACGCGAAATTATTCACGAAAAATAAAAAAAGTGTTCATCACTTGATATATTCCATTTGGTATTTGGTAGCGCGTCTGATAAGATTAACCATCAGATTGTAATAATCATGAAGATTATGGGCTAAGTCGACGTGTCTTATTAAATTAAATATCAAATACAGCCTTTAGTCGCTCGTTTAATTATTGACTGATACCGCTTTTAAGTTTGTTCTATCGTATCTTCGTTTGATCATTCGCGGTAAACTTTGACTTCAACGGCAATTATCTATCTATTTGCGACGTTTGTTCGTATCTTTGTGACAGAAAGTTGCCATTGAAAATCGTATTTCAAATAATTTTTCGCGATCTTTTTTTGTCACTTGAAGAATTCTAAGAATTCGCATGTTGTCGAGGTCGGCAATAATCAATCCTTCATTAATTTGTGCAATCTGAAGTTAATCTGCTTGTTCGTTACCTTATCTAACTTTTTAGTCTCACGTACGGGCATAATTACCCATTCCGGTTCGCGCAGATCGCGAAAGACCTTGCGAGGAGAATGTCATTGTCAAGCCGATAAACGACCTGGCACGTTTCACATCACACGTTATCAATTGATGATCTTTTCTTTTGTAAATGAACCGACTCGGCTAACGCTCGTTAATGCAACAAGAGCTATGCAGATACGTATTCAAGAAGGTACGATGTGTCTATCGAACGTCGCGCATTTACAAACAAATTCGAACGTGATTTGCAATTTTTGCCACAATTATGCCACGTTGTCGCGTTGTTGCGCGACATACTTTTGTGATAATTATTAATATTACATATTCACGATAATACAGCTTATGGAAATGAGTCGGCAAAGCACAAAAAGAACAAAATAAAATAACATTTAATACATTTATTCAAGAAGCAAAAATAGCAATAATTCATGTATTGTTAGAGAAGAACTATTCATGTATATTATTTCGAAAAGTTAAAATTATCGTTATTAAGATAAAAGGCCGCAATACGTAATATCGTTGGGAAAAACCACTAATATTCATTTTAGCAACGTTTTTCTAAGCTCCGATATTTTTTTTAATAATATATAATTGCCGCTTTTTTTCGCAACCTGGAGGTAGACATTAACGAACATTTACATCGATAGTCTTGGTAACTGCTTTTAAACGACCAGAAACATGTGACTCAAAGCGAAACAAAAGGATTATTAACACGATAAGAAACTAGTTTTAGAGCGATGTATATCCTCTGTTCTAGTATCGATCGACAACGCTCGAAGCTATTAATTAATTTCGGAATATACGCGAGATAATGCGACAGTCAATTAGAAATATTATTCAAATTTCGTGTAAAAGATTTTAATATTTTTACCAAAAATATGGTTCGTAGTTTTTATCAGTCGTTTTAGCTTTGAAAATATCGCATAAAAAGATTAAAAATTTCGCATAAAAATTCGCATAAAAATTTTTAAAACGTTTTTCTTATTAAAAAATAAAAAGTCATCGGCGAATGGAACAAATTAGCGATATTATTATACATTAAAAAGTATGTTAATTAATAACATATTTTTATACTCCATTAATTTATTAAATATTTAAAATGCCAAACAAATAAAACTGAATAATAACGGAATTTTCCTTAGAAAATTCCATTACTTTTTTTTCTATTATCCAACTCTCATTAGAAGTTCAGAACACGATGATATCTTTCGCACTCATTTCCTCTCTTTTAAGATCGCTGACATTTATCATAGCAAAACATGTGAACATATGCACATGTATTATGTGTGAGTCATAAATCTCAGACGAGTTTCGTATATACGATCAGCGCTTGAGAAAATTACAAGATTATCTAGTCTATTGCTCAATATTTACGATATTTGTTCAAACTGTCACTTTTCTCGTGATTCTGCGACATATCGCCCGTGCAATAAAAAGCTACACGTAAGACAGAGTGTAAATTTCATGAAATGTATATCATCGCTGAGAAATGCGCTCATTCCGTTATTGCACAATTGTACAGCAGCCTTTCTCATTCTTTCTAAAAGTGCAATATTTACGATGAAAACATTGATATCGATAAACGATCACATGACACGACGCTAGTCAATCGAAGCCACTTGTAGTAATTGTTACGGTCTTTTAACGATAAATTAAACGCTCTAGATCTATCGAAGATCAAACGTGATTCTCATCAGCATATTGGACTTTGTACACGTATGATGATATGTTTCACTTGATGTTAGAGATATCGATATCAATAAATTTACATAAAAATTAGACATGTTAATTCGTTAGAAATTATCAATTTCACTATATCGGATTGTAAAACGAAAGTATATTAAGATTAATCAGTTAATTTTTTTATTGCAGCTGTTTGTACATAATTGCACTGATTGTAATTCAAAGTTGTATTATATCATTTCTAATTGGAATGTTGAAGCACATTTCAAGCGAGAATTTACATGAATTATTTCCTTCAGTTCATTATACGCGCGCGCGTGCGCGTATTCTAAAGAATTTATTTAATAAGAACAGAGAAGAACGAAAACTATGAACGCTGCGAATATTTCATTATTAATAATACAAGAGTTTTATCAAAACATTTTATCAGAAGATCAAAATTATTAAATGTATAAAAATGAGAAAATAAAATGTTTCGACATTAGAGAAAAAATGTTCTAATTTTGAAAAATTTGTGTTGAAGTTAACAATATTCTGTAAATATTCGGTATATAATTTTCTTCGACTTTTAAGCGATTCCAAATAAATGGATAAAAGTTTTAATTTTTCATTTTTAGTACAAGAGAAACAATATCTGTGAGAGCTGTACGCGTTTATGGGAACAGTACGCGCATAAATCTCTGGTCGCAAAATGATATCGATCTGAGACGCGACATAAGATTTAAAAGTTATGAAACTGCGCATCTTACATAAAATAGGGGCACTAGCCATTGCAATAACCGCTCTCACGTAACACAGTATCGGGAGGGCTGCATTTGCGTTACACTTGAAGCGCTGAAGCGACGTTATTGAAAGAAGACCAGTAATCCGCAGAGAAAAAAAATGTTTAAACGGATAAAACTTTTTGCTCAAATCAACATCGAGTTAACAGAACGAATTAAGAGTCTAATATAAAGTTTGTCAACCGAACTAAATTAATATTCGTAATTATATTGTAAAATTGAACAAATTATTGTTAAATGGATACTTTCACAATTTTCTTCGCACAATCACCGATCAATCAGAGACCGAACTGTTATTTACTCGAATAATTTCTTTGGTATAATTATTATGACAGATAAAATGCTTTGCAAAACGATGTTGAACGATGCTGAAGTAACGAATGGAATAAAACGCGTCAAGACTAGCGGTTTACGATGTAGCAATAATTTTTATATTGTATTATTCCTGGGAAATAATGGAAGGATTAAATATATCCTCGTGACAATAGTGACAATATTGCCTTGACTACAATTAGTACGCGGTTCACGGCCAAGTTTAATAGACTCGTGCCGACCATTCGCGAATATCATTTTCAATCATCTCAACTAACGATCGAAGTGTCACGATCGTATTGCCACGTGTTTTGATTAATATAATAACTGCAGAAAGCTCGTGATATTTTCAACTTTTTCAAACGCGACCATATACTGTCGCAATTTCCTCCTTCGATAAAGAGTAAAATATTTTTCTCTCAGTTTTCATTTTATATCAATGTTCTTTTATAAGCTTTTATGAACTATCTACATGGATTATTCGTATAAACTTTGTTAAATAATATATTAATAAATAGAAAACTTGATATTTTTTCAGAATGAAGAACAGTAATGATTTGATAGACAGCCGGCAGGGCTTGGAGGGCTACGTGAATCACGGCTTAAGCGGATCTATCAATAATGTGGATCACATTCACTCGTATCAATCATTTCACAATACGAATGAAAACCATCAGGGATCTTCTGATTTTATCTGTAAGTTCCAAACGGCGCCGTAATGCGCAAATGTCAAGGCAAAATCGTGTTTTCAGTTAACAAAATGCTACGCGCGGAATAAATACGCGGAAAAAGAATTCTATCATAAACGTACGCATCCGAATAAAATGTAAATTGGTTTTCGCACGCGGCAAAGGATGCCATAAGAGTAAGTATCTACCATAAAATTTAATGACCGGTCGGACATAATAGCAGACATAAAGCGCGTAATAATAATATATCTAATAAAGCCACACGTGCGCGCGGTTTTATATTTTATACATCAGGCATAATATAATACAAAAATATTTGCCTAATCCCTAATTTTATGAATAAATATAAATTTAAAAAAATCCTAATTTTTTAATAAAAAATAGCTTTGTAATTATTTATGTATTAATGTGGGGATTGTATAGACAAAAAAGTTCTGAATTATTTATGATACTACCAATCCACGCTTCAAAATTAAAGCTGATGCTGAGAATGTTGAATGTTGAATACTGAGTATTAAATATGAGATGCAAAATGTTTGGAAATTTCTTTCAAAATATTACAGAATATTGTAAAAACTTGTAGTACTTCATAACAATTTGTCACAAACACGGCAATAAATATTTAATTATATTGTAAAAGCTTATATTATATATTGATATGATAAGCTTAACATTGATTCTTCAACTATAGATTTCAAGATTTAATGTTATCACGACTTTTCATCACAGAGATAAAAATTGTTGCACGTTACAATTATATTATATTTAATCATTGATAAAATAAGATTGAGATAAAATCACTTTAGCTCTCGGTTTGATAGAATTTTATCGACTTTCTACGATTAAAGTAATAATAATTTATCATTATTTTCAGAGTTCCAATAAATTATTACAATGAGAATGAAAATAATGCCAATGTGTAGTCTATTCTCATAGAAGAAACATTTTTTAATTTTTGTTAATGTTTTCTGAAATAACAAAACTTTTCCTCTATGAAAATAAATTATTTCATCATCGGCTATTTCATGTTTAAAAAGACAACAAGAAATGTCATTGTGCGTGCGCGCGTATCTCATAAAATATTCTGCATATTATACTATAAAATAAGAGATAAAATTTTTTTCCGAGTTTTTGGCATCTACAATGTACGTTCGTGATATTAGCACATACGGGATTACAGTGCCTATGATTTATGCACATCGTCAATGATTTTATCCCGCGCAACTGGTTCGCCTTCCTTGACGCGGTAAACGCAAAATCGTCCTTCGGAACAGCAGACGTGCTTTAGAAACATATCCAGACGCGTGCCTGAGAGTGCGCAATATTTTTTTATTTCTTCCTCGCGCTTTTTCTTTCGACGAGATAATAAATTTGACGCACTGCTCGGACAGTGCATCGTCCTTGTCATCCGCTTATTACGTTACGTTTTCGCAGATGAGAGAAATTATTTATAGTTTAACGTGGGAGACTGCAAACGCGACATGATATATGTGGATCCTTGTAGGAAATATTTGAAAGCTGCGAGCGGCGATATAGTTTAATTGAGAAATGGTTTTTTAGATCCTTCTTATGTTTTTCGTTCTTATTTAAAAGCACCATCATAATCGCGAGAGAAGCATATTTATGTAACACAATAAAATTTTATAAAATCCAGGCGCTTTAGATGAATATAGTCATAACTGTGTGGTTGTGTTGTGCGTTTTGGATTTAATAAGATTCTTAATAATAACGAAATTGGATTTTCCGCAAATTAATTTTGAAAAGAGAAGCAAACTTTTTTAACTAAATAAATTTACTTATACAAAATAAATGTAATATAAGAACAAAGCTTACCTTGTTTACTGCGTCAACAGTGATCGAAGAGCCGGGGGACGAGGTCAAACAGAAGGAAGGTCTTGTGAAGTCGATGTTGCAGTACACGAAGCGACGTGCCAAGGGCATCTGCACGAGGAAAACCCTTTACAAAAGACTGCCATTCTTGAGGTGGCTACCAAGGTACAATGGTCAAGATGCACTCGGAGATCTAGTGGCCGGAATCACCGTGGGTCTCACTGTTATTCCTCAGTCGCTGGCGTACTCGAATGTTGCCGGTTTACCGTCACAGGTGCATACAAAATTATTACTTATTTAATGAGAGGATCCTTGCAGAGGATTCCGCAAAATTTACATTGGGATTTATAATGGATATTTGACCAAGTGTTCTTCGTCTAATCTGATAAATAAAATCGATTTAAAAAATCCAATTATTATTAGTTTGAAAAACACGATTAAAAGTCTTTTGCAAATTAATTTTCAAGAAGCGCAAAAAATTGATTTTTCGGATATTCTGTATTCATGTTTTCTTCTTTTTATTACAGTATGGTTTATATGGCAGCTTCTTGGGTTGCTTTATATATGTAATTTTTGGATCCTGCAAGGACATACCCATGGGACCCACAGCCATAATTTCCTTGCTGACTTATCAAACAATATCTCAATTGGACCCTCAGTTAGACCCGGTGTCGCATGCAGTCCTGCTGTCCTTTCTGGTCGGCGTTGTAGCGTTAGTAATGGGTTTACTTGGCCTCGGTAAGTCACCTGCAATAATTTAACAACGTTAATTCAATTTGAAATTATAAAACCTTATGATATATTTAAAAGAACGTTGTTGAATATCAAATCATAAGATTAAAGAAAAAAATTCTTAAAAACTAAATATAACAATATGAACATTAGAAATACAACATTGCATATTGTTTAACATTTTTGCTATAAAATTACACATAAGATTTTCCTTATTTCAGGGTTTCTGATAGATTTTGTATCTGGGCCAGTGAGTTCCGGTTTCACGTCGGCGGTGGCTTTAATAATAGTCACGTCGCAAATTAAAGATATCCTCGGCATCCCTGCCAAAGGCTCCCAATTTATCGAGATGTGGAAGAGCATCGGTGGGCTGATACACGAGACATCGGCCTGGGACGCTGCTCTTGGAGCATCCTGTATTGCATTGCTGTTAATTCTGAGGGTAATTATTCAATTTAATTTTAAAAAATATACATACATCTATTAAAGTTATTAGAATACGTCAATATTTACTATTTATATTTAATCACGTCATTTGCATCTATAGATATTTATCACACGTGTAAATTTAATATAAAATTTAATGTAGACAATATTTTTTATATAACTCTATATGTAATTACGATAATTTTCCAAAAGAAAACTATTAATCATTCATAAAGAATTTTTAAATATATATGTATAATGCAATTTCTGAATTAGTTACTGGCTTCGGTTCAAATCGGTCCACATGACGAAGAACTTCGCACTACGAGACATCGCGTTGTGAACAAAATCTTCTGGTTGATCGGCACTTCACGAAACGCTTTTTTGGTAGTGATTTGTGGCTTTTTGGGCTGGCGCTTGCACAATCAATTGCCCGTCAGACTCATAGGTAATATATGACATATATGCTATAGAAAATTTATTCTCAATTTACTCTCAAAATTTTCTCGCAAACACGTTTTGCACAATCGTAAAATATTTTATTAAAAAAAAAAATAGCGCATATTTTGAATAACATAAACACTTAATGCAACTGCTTGAAACTACGCGAAAAATTTTCATTATTAAAACATGGGATAAAATATTACACTAATACAATTATTAAAAATACAAATTATTCACATATTATGTGGATATATTATTCGCATTACTTTTATCGTTAGAAAAGAAAAATTAGATCTTAGTGAAAGTTAATTAAATTTTATTGTAATACATAAACGGAGAACACATCGAGAAACGGATATCCGAATATTCCATGATTAATCTGAGAAGTCAAATCAAGCTGAAATTTCATTGCAGGCCACATACCAGCCGGCATGCCTGCCGTGCAAGTACCACCGTTTGGATATATTAAGGACGAGAACACGACGGTGACATTTATTGACATGGTCGGCAATTTGGGTAGTGGTATTTTCGTTTTACCACTAATCGCTCTGATGGAAGACATCGCTATTTGTAAAGCATTCGGTAAATATTTCATTAGAAAATTACAGGAAATTGCTTTCCGCAAATTTTACACTAAAAATCGATAAATTTATAAAAGCTTTTCCAACAAAACAAATAAATCTTGCTATATGATTGAAATTGTTACGAGTTTTATACCTTTTTGCAGCCAATGGAAAATCGGTGGATGCTACGCAGGAACTAATAGCTATCGGTATATCGAACATCGGAAGTTCCTTTGTGCAAGCTTTCCCGATTACGGGATCTCTCAGCAGAAGTGCGGTAAACAACGCTTCCGGCGTCAGGACGCCTCTGGGTGGTATTTACACTGGTGAGTTCCACCTGCGGCATTTGTAAATCAATTGTTCTACCAATCTCGTCTTTGCGTGAGTTAAACATAAAGTCAACAGCAGAGCAATATTTTAAATAATAAATTTAAAAATTGCAACTGGTTCTTTTTTGAATAATAAAATTGCACAATCGCGCAGAACAAGTTTCTCTAGTTTTTCCCACAATAAAATAAAGTTTTTTTTATCTAAAATAAATATGTTTTGTTTTTCAGGTGTGTTAGTAATTTTAGCCTTAATGTTCCTCACCCCGTACTTCAGCTTTATTCCACGCGCTACACTAGCGGCGATTATTATAGCCGCGGTCATCTTCATGGTCGAAGTCAAAGTGGTGAAGCCGATGTGGAGGACAAAGAGTAAGCGCCCGTTTCTCATGAAATATGTAAAATTCGATATGTCGCAATATGTCACAAATGAATTATTCCCTTGTGATTCCAGAATCAGATCTCATCCCGGGAGTGGGCACGTTCATCGCGTGTCTGGTGCTGCAATTGGAGATTGGTATTCTCTGCGGAATCGGAATAAATATCCTCTTCATCTTGTACCACGCCGCCAGACCAAAAATATCCGTGGAGAAACTGAAGGTAACTATTGATTTGCTTAAAAGACTAGACAGATTATTTATGAACATTCTCCTCGATTCAGTATTTTTGACACGTTTCAAACTTACCTTTATTTTTTGCCAATTTTTACAATATTTTTTTCTGTAATTAATAAATTATAACATGTAATAATTATCAAATCAATCTTTACACAGCAAACACTTGTTGCGAAATAAGAAAATACAAAGTTTATTTGACTTCTATTTTTTTTTCTCGCAAGTGCTATCTTTTTGTCTAATCATTGATTCTTATTCTTTTTATCCGACAGACTCAGCACGGTATCGAGTACTTGATGTTGACGCCGGATCGTTGCCTGATCTTCCCGTCGGTGGACTACGTGCGCAATTTGGTGACGAAATATAGTCAACGCGTGAAGAGCGTCGCAACGCCTGTGGTGATTGACTGTTCGCACATCTACGGGGCGGATTTCACGGCTGCAATGGTCATCGAGACCCTGACGAAGGACTTCGCCATGAGGGGACAACCGCTTTTCTTTTACAATCTCAAGCCGTCGGTGTACGCTGTCTTCGAGGGTGTTGCGCCGACAGACTTTGTTGTTTATTACAATCAGGAGACGCTGGACGACTTGCTGAAGGAAAAAGGGTATATCAAGCAGATCAAATAGAAGCTTCAAAAGCTCCAAAATGTTGTTCTCAATCGTGAAAAGTGTATTTATAAAGTGTGTTCCTCAAAACTCGCAATAACTGGTCTCCGAATACGCAACAAATGCGAAAATTTCGGATAAAAATAACCAGAACGTTCCTTCAAACTTTCTCGCGATTTTTCGTAGAGATCTTTGCCTTAATTTTACAAAGTAAAATACGAATCTAATTTTATAGTAACTATAAAAAATTTATGCCATAATATATACACAAATACTTTTTGTGTGATCTTGATTCTGATAAAGAAATGATATTACATTCTTAACTCAGAAATTTACACAGCTTCAAGTTCCGAGTCGATGGTAAAAACCATCGAGATAAAGCTACATGTAACAGAGATATCGCCGACCTAACGTCAGTATTCAATCTACGTTTGAAACTTTAAACGTAGTTCGTCGCGTGTACTTTGACGTCTATATAAAAAATTTAGACGTCTTTACGATGTCTCGTAGATTCTCATTTCACTTAAATATTTATTTAACTTCGCGATGAAACGAAGGTGTCAGTATAATTTTCTCAAACACATTGATACTTAGCGTTTCTCTTATTTTAAACTTAAAATAAAGGTGCATAAAATTCCATTCCACATTTATATGTGCTTACTATTTCATACAGAATAGTATTTGTCATATTCTGAAACATATTTGTACATAACTATAATAAGTTCGAACAATACTGTGATAATTTTATAAGCGATGTCTAGACGAACGGAGAATGTTCGTTTTTCGATGGATATAAAGCTTCCATGAATAACAGATCTTTTGTGAATTTTTAAGCATATTATTATCGAATCAACTCGTCGATGAAAATTTCATTGTAACTCAATCTCGAATATGGAGAGGAGAGTCATAAAATGTAATTGATTCGAAATACTATCGATCGATATGTAACGGCTGCTCTTTTCTGTTATATTCCCGCATAATATAAAAAGATTTTTTAGAAAACTCATGTAATATAAAAAATGTCGTACTCTCTTAATAGCAATAAAAATTATTTTATTGTATAATTTATTAACTTAATAATATTTATTAACTTAATAATTTTATAACAAGCCAATAATTATGGCGAAAATAATTAATTTTATATTATTAATATAGTTATAATAATTATGATAATAATTAGAGAATAGTTCATATCCTTGTTATATATATTAAATGTAATAATTTTTAGGCAATGCGGTAATATAATAGTAAAAGCAGAGATTGTCGCGCGTCCTTTTAGTAATAATAGATCTTCGTTATTGTTGAATGTAACATACGGCTTGTTCCGACGGGACAATGCCGACATTAATCTATAGAATAACCATGCGTGATTTCACGTACTATAAAAAAAAATTGTAGAATCCTACGAGATTAGTTACTTAATTAATTAATAATGCCTTATGAATCGGCAATATCGAGGGAAAATATTGTCCTCGATGGATTTGAAAATGGCTGAATAATGTACTTATGTTTACGAATCATTGCACAACTGTTCATTTTACATCAGATTGATTAATATATAATTATATAGTTATATATAATTGTGTTTTTTTATTATTCTCTTGAAGATTGATCAAAACTACCCTTTTTCTATCCTATACACAATTCCCTAAAAGTCTTCCCTACAGGAGAAAATTTTATATCAAAAATTACAGCAGTAGCCGCGGACCATAAGAGAAATTATAAGTTTAAATACTATGGCCATTATGTGAAAAACAGTAAAAATTTTTATAATTCCTTCATGGTCCGCGGCTACTGCCGTACATAGTGATTTCTGATATAAAATTTTCTCCGCGTATGTATAATCAGTGTAACATCTGCCGTCTCTCGACACAACGGCTTATGATGTATGCATGATGACAGAGTAGATTGGTCCAAGCAAAGATCGTTCTTGTACTCTCATTAGCTTGATTATCTATCGGCAGATATATCTTATCCCTACACACGCAGCATTATATAGGGCGATGGTCTCCCTTCTCCCAGCCGGCCGCGCGTTATCGATTGTTACGAACATTCAGAGCCGTAACCGAGATTCATAGAGCCTAAACTGAATAACTTTTAGTATTTGTTGCCACGAAAACGTAAAATATTCTTGTGCTAAGTTTGAGGAAGAAAATCTCGAGCCTTGCAATATTATTAAATTAAAAATTAATTTGGAGAACGTAGTGGCGGCAAATGTAAGAATAATCGCCAGCAAACTGTATTTGCATATAAACGCATTTTTTAATCATTTTTCTTAACTTTATGAGATAAAAAATAAAAAAAGATTTTTGTACATAATAAATAAGAAGTGTAAATATAAACTTACTTTTGGCAATTCCGCAATACGCATGACTCGGCGGCCGATCGCAGACACCATGCGTTTGCCGTGGTCCAGTTACGGCTCTGACCGTGCCGTTTGATAACGTGCTAAGTGTGCGCTTTCCTCGTGCGAGAGCGTGTGTATCCGCATCCGCAACCCTCCACCGGCTGCGCCAGTCGCACGTTGACCGATGACGGACGCGCACGGGCTGAAAGTTAACGTGTCTCCGACCGCGGCACGCTATTCCGGGGTAAGTGCAAATCCAAACGTTGTGTTTGCCCCAGCTATTGAACTTGACAGGATGACTGGATCTTTTCCGGATTTCCAGGACACGTTCCTTTCCGGACGTCCTGAATGTTTCCTCAAATTGGAGAGATATGACAGAGAAAAATCGTAGTTTTTAAATTTCTTTTCTCCTAACTTGGTTTGTTTCCTTGAATTCAGCTTGAAAATTTATAATAAATTTATTTATTTGTTTAAAAAATAATAAAATAATAAAATAATAAAATTTTATTATTATTACTTTTAAATAAAAATATGAAGAAAAAAAGTGTTTGTGCTTGTGTTAATTTGCAATCATATATTTTTTGCGATTGGCCGGATCTTCGAGAACACATCTTCTTCGAATGCTTGGTGCGAATCTTTTGGACATCTAAAAAATATAATAATATATCTAAAGAATATAATAAATATATAAATATAAATTTCATTAATTCTTTTATAAATATTAAAAACAGTTAATTTACAAACAAAATTAATTTGTGTTAAATCAAATTGTGTAATATATCGAGAAATGCTAAATTTTCAATCAAATTAAGTTTCTTTATCTATTGTCTAATTCTATAATATGATCTTTCACTTTCTTGTGGCGGTTATATAAAAGTAAAAATGCAGAGTATACCTTGCATTCCATTTTATAGACAATGTAAATATTGTCATATCGATATTTAATTTTTCGTCGCCTATCACACCAGTTGCATTTCTGCGCATAATCCACAAAGAGAGATTATCCTCTTATTGTTTATGTACATTACACGTTAATGTGCATAAGATATCGTAATGTGTTCCAGATATCGCGAGAAGAAGTATCGATGCGGGCATACTGGTGTCGATGAAGGCAATAGCGGATGCTATTGCGGCGGTATAATGGCACTCAGGAAACCGACCAAGTACGACGACTCATAAAATCACGAAAATGGAACTGCGCAAAGGCTCCTGGAAGATCTTAATCCTCGTATGCGCACTAGTCATTTACCTGTGGATGCTCTTCATCGATCATTCGCACATGCTGGCCGACATATCGCAGAGGATCGCTCTGCAGAAAACGCGGATCTCCGTGTCCGCGAGAAACTTTTTGTACCGAAGTCTCGATCAATCGAAGATCGAGGAAACATTTCAAGAAGGCCGGATAAATTCGAAGAAATTGCAATTGGTATCGTTACAGAACTCGAGCGATCTACTTATAGAAAGCGCGTCGAAGTATCAGATGCTGAAGCAGCAGGGTCTGATACCAAGTCGGCAATTACCAACCGCTTTAATAATTGGCGTGAAGAAAGGTGGAACGAGGGCTCTTCTGGAATTTCTGAGATTGCACCCCGCCATTCGCGCCGCCGGCTCGGAAGTCCATTTCTTTGATCATCATTATGTCAAGGGGTTTCGTTGGTACAGGTACCTGAAACAAGTGGTCTCATGGTTAATAATAAGTACAAAACAATTTGCAAATTAAAATTTTCACATGACAAAATATTTTTATACAACTTTAACTTTATTCACACTATCCCCTTTAACTTTTGCACATAAATAATATTTTTTCTACAAACAAATAGCGAATGAATTGAGATGAAACATGTAGACAATCAAATAGGCGTTATTTCCAAATCTAAAATTATCTTTCTCCAAGATTGCGCAGCTAAAAAATAAAAAAATACACAATTTATATTTGCTATTTATTTTTGTGCGCATAAAAACTCACCTCGTCGATTATCACGATCCATTGGACACCCTGTAAAGCTATAAATACGCCACCGTAAATACATGACATACATGTGCTTAATATAAATAAACTTTGCTCAATAATCAGGCGCAGGATGCCACCAACTTTGGTTGGTCAGATTACGATGGAGAAGACGCCGTCGTATTTCGTGACGAGTGAGGTGCCAAAGAGGGTGAAGCACATGAATCCGGGGATGAAACTGATCGTCGTGGTGAGAGATCCTGTGACTCGCGCGATCTCTGATTACACGCAAGTGAAGAGCAAGCGTCGATGGATGCCGCGGTTCGAGGACCTGGCCTTCCTGAACGGATCGAGGATCGTGGACACGTCCTGGGTGCCGTTGAAGATCGGGGTCTATGTGCGGCATCTGGAAAGGTGGCTGCAGCACTTCCCGCTCTCGCAATTCCTATTCGTCTCAGGCGAGCGTCTGATCGCCGATCCAGTGATGGAGATTACCCGGGTGCAGGATTTCCTGAACCTGAAACGAGTGATATGTGAGAAACATTTCTATTTCAACGCCACCAAAGGCTTCCCTTGCTTGCTCAAGTCGGAGGATCGCGCGACGCCACACTGTCTCGGTAAGGCAATAAAAATCTCTCATTTCAAAGAATAAATCATAAAAGATAGATTTTTCACCTAATACTATAAATATAATGCAGTTTGTAAAATTTAAAGCTCTTTCTCTTTTTATTTTGTACAATATTTATTCGGAAAAAAAAACAATTTTTTTCTGCTCATTAATTTTTTACGGTAAAATACCTTCTTTTTTGCTCCGATAACTTGAAACTCCGTGGAAAAATTGAGTTAATTTTATGTTTTCCGATATCTTGTTGCGTGGCTCGCTTATTTCTGCAGAGAATTCTGAAATTGCATAACATGATTGTCGACATTAATGAGGATATATATCTGGTTGTCATTATCTTTCAGGAAAAAATAAAGGTCGCAGTCATCCTTATATCGATCCCGCGGCAATTCAGCGTCTGCGAGATTTTTATCGGCCATTCAATCAGCGCTTCTATCAGTTAGCGGGTATGGATTTCGGTTGGAACTAAAATTCATACGTATCTTATACATACATATCGTAAACAGGAAAGCGGAACGAAGTCAATTTTCGTCATATATCAAGATCTTATATTTACGATATCTATTACGCCTGAATATCTATATAACTGATAGGAACATACGTATACATATATATACACAGTCATATATTCGAACGCGCCATTAGTCGATATAGTATATACACGAAACTTCCTTTTGCTATAAAAATTTGCCAAAACTTTGCTATAGTTTATTTCTCTTAAATTTTCTTCATAAATTGCAAAAAATCTTTTTTTATTCTTTATGAATTTAATGTATATATAGACTCTATAGAAATTTCGTCTGTAAGAAAATTTTGTTTTCCGCTTGTTTCACAGTTGTAAAATTGCTCAAATCTAAGTTTAAGTAATTTACATAAAATTAAGTCGCACAGTAAATTTTTACATTTCTTGAATACTAAATTTACAAGCGTCGTGAAAATAATTGGAAAGAAATGGTTATTCACTATTTCTTAAAATTATGAGCAGTGTACGGTTCCCGTCCGGAAGTGATTGAAACGAAAATTGCAACATATCTATATATTTCCTATAATTATTATAAAATTACAATAATAATAGTATTTAAAAATTATATCTGAAATATTTCCACACGCAATAAAAAGATTATAAAGTATAAATATGTATATGTTGTCAAAAAATGAGAACTACGTGTAGTTTCTCCAATTCGACGTACAATTAATTATTTTTAAATAAATAAAATGGGCATGATAAATTGTGATGAGTTGAAGAGAATGTAAATATTAAAATATATTTTTACTTTTGCTGTTATTCACTTTTTAGCTCTTTAACTTTTTTGAAATGTTTATATTGCAAGTTAAAATAATAATACGATTTTAATATGTCTCTTTTTAATTTTGATTTAGATTTCCGCAGAGAATATAACAGAAAAATATGATTATTAGTAATTATACAACGATTAGGGACGGATTAATTAAGGAATTGTCAGGAAAAATTTGTACATGCTATCTCATCTGGTACATATCTATATATTCCTTAGTATTCTTTAAATCTTAAAAAAAAAAAAAAAAAAAAAAATTAAAATTGCAAGAATGTTTTAAATAATCTTTTTAACGACAATAATAAGCTTTTATCAAAACTTTTACAATTTGAATTTAATTAATATAAATTATTTTTATTGTACATTTATTCTGCAATATAATTTACTTACATTTACTTATTTATTAATTATTATATGTATTAAACTGCAAACATTTTTTGAGCAAGAAAAATTTATAAATTTCATATAAATTGTTATTTCTTAGATAAATTTATATTTTATAATTAGTTTTTTAAATTAATGTCTTATTCATATAATATCATACTCGATAATTTCATATTTCGTTCGCCTCTGATAACTATTTATTCCGCTTTTATTTATAATACAATGTATATAATACTGACGAATAAGAAAATGTAATGTGAATTCTCAGTTCTTAGGAATTATTTAGGAACCACTTAGTTTCTATTAAAATTTAGTCAATATTGTTCGCAAAAATATGCGAATTATGAAGTAGTTAAATAGAATATTTCCAGTACATTAAGATTAATTATGCATGATATAATATAAAATGTGGGAATAAATAGTAGAGACATATTATTTTCAAACTTAATAAATTTCAGCTTTTTTAATACAAATTAAATTTATGTCTAATATTAGTCTCAGATAAATGAACTTATTGCTCAATTCCTGCATTTTATTATACATTCTGTATAAATTAGCGTTTATAAAACAAATTTAACGAAATTATGAGTGATAAACAAATTAAAAAATTAAGAAGTTAATTTATATATAGACATAAGAGAGTAAATTAATAAATTATTAAGTTCAAGAAATTAGATTGCAGAATATTGATAGATATTGTGTGCATGTGTGTGTGTGTGTAATTGTTTAAGAAAGAATGTGTAATAATTAATGTATTTATTTGACAATTATTGGAGAACTTTATTTGTTTAGTATATAAGAATGAAAGTAGAAAACATCTAGAGAATATGATTCATATCATATGAACGACGAACGATATAATAATGAAGCACAGTGCTTTTGCTCAAATTGTATCACACAGGGCTGTCAATACAAATATATAAATATTTCATACATTTTTTCTCCCAATCTCCTATAATTCTCTTGCGCACGCTTTTTCGTACTTTTTCAATATGTTTCATAAACTGCATTCATAGATTAATTGATAAATCTGAGTTAAAGTTATATAAACCAAATAAAACTCTGCACAAACATTTAGAATTTTTTGCTTTTTCACTCATTCTCTTTTATAAATTTTGAATTATTGTTATTTTATAAGGTAATAATTATATTAACTGAGTCAAATTCATATTAACTCTTAAATTCATTCTGTGAATTTGTTCAATCGATTAATCTATCAGCACACTGTTAACATTTTACTTATTAAATCTGAAATACTTAAATAATAAATTGTAAAATTAATACTGACTTATGAGCTAATCGTTCAAGTATTGTCAATTCATCGATTTCATCGATGTAAAATCATCGATTTTCAGTAGTATCTTGTCGATCCCCTGGCTAAATTTTCATGATAAAAATAAATACTTGGTCGCGATGGAGCGTCCATTGGTTGTGAGCAATGAACACTGCCGCGAAATGTGAAATTTATTGCTGTAAGATAAAATGAGATTTAAACTTACAGATCAACTATCTCTCTCAAACAGGCAACTTCTGATTAATTTTTTTAGATGGATGCTCGGTCCGCTTATGATTTAGCTATCGCGTCGTTTCTGGTCATTTCTTACTATACTTAATGCGTTGACATATACTGTGAACAAAAAATTTAAGTCGTTAGTTAAGACAATTTCTTTTTCATCGCAATTAAAAAATATCTTGTAGTAAAATATATTACCTTAATTGAATATTTATTAACGTTTATCAAATAACATTTTTAAGGAAATGTCTTATATATTTAGACATTTTACAAGGAAAGGGTTGGGTTGCATATTAGTGACAATAAATTATCGGCATCTCGTTTCCGTAACTTTTTTATTTTCGCTCTTACTTGTCATCGCTGATACTTATATGTATGTACAGAAAAACCATTAACCAATGTCATTTGTAGAAGAATCGCGGAATAAAAGATGCCAAGTCACTGCAAAAATCGTTGTTTTTATTTCGCTACGTTTTTTTTATTTTTTTGACTCAAAGGTAGTAGTAGAAAGAATATTTCATAGAAAACGTTTCCAAAATTTAGATTTGCTTTAGTTTTTGCGTAAGTGATGTCAGAAAAAACTATCAATATGGGAAATTATAGAGACAACGATTTTATTGGCAGATTCTATTAAACCTGCCAATAAAACATACTTTTGTCAAAACCCTATCGTTATCTCCTCTATAAATTTCCCATATCGATAGATCCACAGGATTTAGGTACAGATAATGCTACATTGAGTACCAGGCAAATGATTAGTGAAGCATTACACCATTATTTCGCTTCCACTAGATCATATTATTATTATTATTATAGGTATCAGAATAATAAATAATTTCACAAAGATAATAAACAAGATGTTACTGCCTGAGTAATTATGTTGACAAATAGAAACAATAATGTGTTAAAATGTGATTTATTATTTCTGGTAACTACTACATTGAAAGTTTTGATACCGAAGTGTCTAATTCACTTTGGTACCGAAACTTTCAATGCAGTAGTTACCAGAAATTGGAAAAGAAATGAATGGAAAGAAAATTATTCGTGCGTGCAAATTATAGAAAGTCTTGCTTATTTCAACACTTATTTTAAAGTGAAGTTGATCGATTAAAGTATAGAAGTCAAAAGACGACTAACATAGAGTCTTTTGACTTCTATACTTCATCAACTTCACTTTAAAATAAGTGTTGAAATAATTTCGTGAAAAGAGCGAAATAAGCGACTTTCTATAATTTGCACGAATAATTTTCTTCCTAATATACAATACCTGTTTAAATATTGATGTTCCTTTGCGGTCCAAATGTTGTTATTATTACAATTACCGCTCTCATTTTGTTGACTCAAGTAGCAATAAACTCATTTGTTGAATGCTTTAATATCCTTTTATCCACGGCAGCATTCTGTATTAATCATTGTTAGACTATCGGTATGGGTTATTGAAAAAGAAAAAACGATTATAGAATTCAATAGAAATAAATTTTGTTATCAAGATAAAGTAATGTCTTGCGTAACGTTATGTAAGAAAGATAGTTGTTAAATGAAGTAACTTCCCTTTATCCTGACAACAAAAATTTATTTCCATTCAATTTTATAATCGTTTTTTCTTTGTAAAGTAAATCCAAATTTTCGATACTTTTTCTACGAAATGGTCTTATTAACCACCTTCGAACAAGAAAGGGTGAGTTACGTCGACTGATGTAACGCCGGCGTCCACCCGGCGATATATTCGCACGGAAACTATCGGTATATGCATATGAAAGTTTTTTTATTATTTTATAGTTTCTATTATAGTGGTTATTTCTTCTTCTGGGCTTTCTCAGCGGCCTTGGTGACTTTGCCTGCTTGGTCCTTGAAGGTGACAGCCTTGATGACACCGACTGCTACCGTCTGACGCATGTCACGGACTGCAAAACGTCCCAGAGGCGGGAATTCTTGGAAAGCCTCGACGCACATGGGCTTGCTGGGCACCAGGGTGACGATGGCGGCGTCACCGGATTTGATAGCTTTCGGATTTTCCTCCGTCGTCTTACCCGTACGACGGTCGCACTTCTCTTTGATCTCGGCGAATTTACAGGCGATATGGGCGGTGTGGCAATCCAACACAGGCGTGTATCCGTTGCTGATCTGACCAGGATGATTCAGCACGATGACCTACGTAAAAAATAATTGCATTAATCATTTGTTCATTTACATATTTTGTTTCATTGATAAAATTAATAGAATTTAACCATAATTTAATAAAATTTAAACATCTAGACACTCAGACATATTCAACCGTCATCAAAACGAGTTTTCCGGTGGAAACCACGAATGAAGTAATATAAATTCTCATCATAGTGTAAATAATAAATTGTAATAAAGTATTATTAAGTACAATAGATCTACCTGTGCGGTAAAGTCAGCAGCACCCTTGGGTGGGTTGTTCTTGGAATCTCCCGCAACATATCCACGACGCAATTCCTTAACAGACACGTTCTTCACGTTAAAACCAACATTGTCACCAGGAACAGCTTCTTGAAGAGCCTCATGGTGCATTTCAACGGATTTGACTTCAGTGGTCAAACCAGCGGGAGCAAAAGTGACTACCATACCGGGCTTCAATACACCAGTTTCGACACGGCCTACAGGTACCGTTCCGATACCTCCAATTTTGTACACGTCCTACGATCAAAAGACAGTCATTATTTCAATTCAACAAGATTAGTTGGATATTTTTTAACACTTGATGAAATCAGACGTTCAAAACCATCATAGGATCGATAATCCTCCGGTGGAAACCACGAATGAAATTATAAGGTTTTATCATCATATAATGGTGCTTGCAAAAAGTAAATCGTAATAATAAAATTAAATCTTACTTGAAGAGGAAGACGAAGAGCCTTGTCGGTCGGCCTAGTGGGTGGCAGAATGGCATCAAGAGCTTCAATAAGGCATTTGCCTTCGCCCTTGCCTTCCTTGCGCTCCACAGTCCATCCCTTGAACCAGGGCATCTTGGCGGATACTTCCAACATGTTGTCCCCATGCCAGCCAGAGATGGGTACAAACGCCACTGCAGCCGGATTATAGCCGATCTTTTTGATGTACGACGAGACTTCCTTCTTAATTTCCTCAAATCGAGTCTCGGAGTACGGCGGTTCGGTGGAGTCCATTTTGTTAACGCCGACAATCAGTTGTTTGACACCGAGTGTAAAGGCGAGCAGAGCGTGCTCACGAGTCTGTCCATTCTTCGAGATACCAGCCTCGAATTCACCGGTACCAGCAGCAACAATCAGTACGGCACAATCAGCTTGTGAAGTACCAGTGATCATGTTTTTAATAAAATCCCTATGTCCAGGAGCGTCAATAATGGTGACATAGTATTTGGAAGTCTCAAACTTCCATAAGGCGATGTCAATGGTGATACCACGCTCACGCTCAGCCTTCAGCTTATCCAACACCCAAGCATATTTGAAGGAACCTTTGCCCATCTGAAAAAAAGGAATTAATGAGATTTCTATTTCAAATTTGATCATTTGTAAAATAATTTTAATATCGAAAATTTAAAATAAATTTCAAATGACACTCAGACGTTTCGAAACCATCATTGAAGTATGTTCTCTGGTGGAAACCACGAATGAAAAAAAAATTGCTATCATCATTGTGTCATAAGAAAAGCACTCTTTCAGCAGCGATATTAGTATATAAATTATTAAACATTACCTCCTGGGCTTCTTTCTCGAACTTCTCGATGGTACGCTTGTCGATACCACCACATTTGTAGATCAAGTGACCAGTGGTGGTGGACTTGCCAGAGTCGACATGTCCAATAACGACTATATTGATGTGTATCTTCTCCTTACCCATTTTGTGGTATTAGGCGTTACTAGTTTTTCTAGTACTCTGGTGAAACTGAGAATATAAATATGTTAAATTAGCATGTGTCAAACAAACTCTTTGATCGTTAATCTGACAATATGCAACGAGTACTTTGCATTAGAAACCATCCGACAATTCGTACCGAGTTAATTGACTATTCTTATAATAAATAACTAAATAAAATCGAAAGATATTAAGTATCCAAGCATTCTTGCAATTTAATTTGCAGAATCATTGTGCTCGATTTACGCTGAATGTCACTGACTTCATATTGCGTAAAATGGTGCAATCATTTTAGAATGCATTTGCGTGCGAAATTCATTAGAATATATTTGATCTTTGACGATGTCTTTGTTCGTCATCCACGTGGCCAAACGTGAATATTCGAGAATGGCAGCCGGCAGCCATTTTGTAAATGACGAGAGGAGCGACGCGCTGTTGCCACGATTTTCACGACGCTCGACATCGCGCACGATGCCACGTTATTGCGAATTCTTTTTGTGAGATTCTCCATCATCCCAAATGGACCAAGCGTCGTCACTTCCGCAGCCCTTCGATAAAATCGCGGAATTAGTGACGACTATTTTAATCAATTTCAAACGAGTCATGCTAATCAGGTGGCAAATATGTTGTATCCTTATCGACGCACGCGGCTCGCAACGTGCACAGTAATTTACGGATTTAATTAAGTTTTTTTTAAACGCCAATTATAGTCGAACAATGTTTTGGAGTATTGATATGAACGCGGAAAATGGTTAGACGATAGAATTTCGCGGTTCTACGAAATTGATCATTATTAGCATACAGATAACCGGAGTACCCCTTCCGTTTCGCATGAGTAACGAATCGTTAATATCGCACGACAGATCGTTTCTCGAGATCGTTCCGTGCTAGGCACGAGCGGATACCGCCCAGTTTTTTATGCTAATCTTCGACGGCGAAATTCAACTATTCGATTTACTAATCTTATTTTTGCGATTGCTTATGGAGATTTCTTTCCAGATTGTAATCTTGGCTACGAAACAGATGAGAAATTTCGTTATTGCACAATTAATTATCTAACCGTTCCTGCACAACGTTGCACCGGCAATATGCATGTGAAGATCCTGTAATTTCGTCGATCGTAAAAAATTGATCGCGTATGTTCTGAAAGTCGCCGTGCAAGGTCGTTGTTGCACACGGCCTCCAGGCGGGCCTGCGATTCACGAAAGAGAACTTTAACCTCATGCTTCCGGTTTTCGGCTCTGCCGCTCGAACGCACAGTATCGCGAATACCGCGATTTTTCGCCCGGAATTGTGCAAGGTACAAAAATCGGAATGCCACGCGGAAATTTCGCCAGCGATGCGATCACGAACTCGTGACTGCTGGAGCTCCAGCGCTCTGACAAGCCCGGCCGCCATAATGTATCCGGTCGTTTCTCACGATCCCGGACGCGTCCCGCTGCCGGCACGACCGGCGTTCATTTTTTTCCCGATCGCGTTCGCGCGAATTTTATTCCCACGACCGACGATGATCCTTCTGCGATACAATATTCGTCGTCGGAGATGTTATTACGCGCAGCGACGCAGCCGGCGAGATTAAAGGAAAAGTACGACCGACCGGCCATGCGGCATCTTACCGTCGACGATAGCGACGTACAAGTTGCACGGAAACCGATGGCGAAATCGTAAAACTGTACGCACAACACAGCACGCCGTAGCCACGGTCGTCGTTCTATTTTGTACCTGTCGTCCGATGCTGTATCCTCGGTACGAGATTCGTCGGATAGTCTTGCGGCGCGCTGACTGCACAACCACTCACCTTCGGATGCCACGATAGAAAGAGGCTCTGCAAGGCAGACATGCGCGTACGCAGCCGGCCGTACTCTCGCACCCAGCGTCGCCACCGTGTCGACAGTAGCGCCATCACTTACCGCTCCGTCGAATATTATTCTAAGGGCGGTATTCATAGTCCGTTCTTATATTCAAGATCGTCTTAAGCACGAACTTATATTCGCTCTCTTCGTCAGACACAATCTATGTGTGACGAAGAGAGCGAATATAAGTCCGTGCTTAAGACAATCTTAAATATAAGAACGGACTATGAATACCGGCCTAATACATCAAAAAATAAACGGAAATTTGTGGAAAAAAATTCACGAGATTATTTTTTTCTTAACTTTCGGAATTTTTGTTAATTTCCGAAGAAAATTAACATTTCTCCGAAGATAGTACGATTCTCTATCATGGGATGCGTCTGGGTTCGAGGCTACAGTTACGCGGCACACACAGGCGTGTCGGATTTCATGTATATATGTATATGCGGTCCTAGGATATGCGTAACTATGTAGTGGGAGCTACCAGAAAAAAAGCAGGATGGACGATAGAATGTGTGCGAGCAAGCGAGATGGCACGTACGTATTGTAATCAGAGATGCATTTATGCGTTCGAATGCAACGTCTGGTTCAATATTGCGATTCTTTTGTATCGAGTCGCGAAATATCTTTAGATACGATAAAAATTACTTACTGCATACTGCAAAATTAATCACTGCATACGGTTCTTGTTTGTGATTTTTGATTGGAATCGGAATGCGATTTGCAGCTGCATCAAGTGTATCGTTCTTTGATGTACCATCATGTGACTGCAGATGCTAATGCAATACTCTGTATTGCATTTTGTGTCGATATTTTTGTTAGCTACAGTAAAAGTAAGTTAATATCGGCGACACTGAGTTCCGCTACATTTCTTTCGTACCTTGAAAGTAGAATGTAACGGAATGGATTTTCAGCTGTTTGTTAATTGTGTCGTTGACTCATCGAGCTCTCTTTCTTTCCTGAATGCTATATTTTAATTCTCTCTGTTTTTCCTTAATTAATTCTTCCTGGAAAAAATCGTTTAAAAAATTTTTATATATTAGACATAAAAAAGAAATTAATTTCAGTTCTTCAGTTAAATATATTGAGTTTTTGTTTAAATCTTTTTTCTTATTTAATTCCAAATAAAGTTTCTAAAAAATTGAATTTGGCTTTCTGTTACTATATACTTCAATTAATATATTTTATATTGAAAAATAAAAACTTAATTAAGAAATAATAATTTTTGGTCGTTTAAAAAAATATAATAAAATATTTTATGCATATATTGATTGGCTAAAATTATAAGTTAGTTTAGTTTTCGCGTTTGTTGTATTTCAGATATGCATTTTCAGGTTTTATGTATTTTACATTCAGGTAAAGCGAATTATATAGCTTTGGGTCAGAATCTATTGCTTGAGAGTTTTATGTCCAATCTATAGTGTGCTTTTTGGTTTTTGTTTTTTTGCCTCTAAAATATTTTTCCTCATAAAGAAGAAATTGTAAATAACGATATTTCTTGATTCCATACGATAAACACATAAAAAGGCAAAAATACAGAAGACAGAAAGCAAGAAACAATATACAAAAAATGCATTGAAGATTAGGCCTTAATGATCGAAAGTTTTATGCTATAGAACATCAAAGGAAGCGTGTGTGAATATTTTAAATCGCGTGGTTGTATTTCCAGTATTTACAGTAAAAGTAAGTTCTGTCGACAAAAATTTGCTTAAATCTAATTTCTTTTTGCACCAAAAAAAGTTGCAATTTAATGTTGAATTTTGTATTGAGTTAATTTTTTTTCTGCTTAATAAAAAGATCTGCCTTAATATATCTTTGCTTATTCTATTTTAATGCGATCGATAATCCGGTCATCGAGATAAACGGTGAAAGGTAAAGAAAGAAGATTGTATGCTCTCAGGGCACTAACGGTATTCGTTATAGCCCTGTATCTGTCGCGATTATACAGCGGACTCACCTATCTGCTAAGGACAATGACATTCTACTCCCATGAATTTTCGCAACCACGTGCATTCATTTTGATGTGAAAGGCGCATTAATGTACCGTTCTTCATGTGCAGTCTATTGTATATGTGATTTGTTTTGTGGAATTTTCCTAAAATGCTGACGAATTCCATTGTCTAATTCCAAGTAAAATTATCCATCATATGGAATGTAGACCCAGACCTAAAAGATGAATTTATTATTTAATTTTATGATTCATATTATAAAAAGTAATCAGAGATTTATTTCAAATAGATCATTGCACATTATTGCAAAATAATAATTACTTCGGACTCGGTAAATTATATGATTAATCCAATAGTCAGCTCAAAATGTTGAAACAAGACTTTCATCTAAAACTTTCTCTTTTTGGGAAAACGAGAAATAAATTGTGATTTGTATTTGTTGGGTTTCTTGGTTTCTATGTTCTGACTGTACAATTTTTTACAGTCTCTTGGTTGTGTATTCAACAATAAAAAGAAAAAAAGGAAAGCCTTGATACGCCTATTGATAGACAACTGGATATACTTTCGTGAATAAGAATCCGCAGAACGTGTCACATGTGCGTTACTGCTATCGCATGATTGTGCAATCGCGCTTCTTACGTAGAAATGAATGACTCATTGGAAACCGTGAATGAATAGCATGCATCCGCATTAGCAAGATATGTATATACTTAAACTATATTCACATATTTCCTGTCAATACTGTTCAAATAGAAATGTCGTTTCGCCGCGATTATTAATTGCGTAATTAAAAATACTTGTAACGTTCTTATATTAATAATTAATACAATATTACATAATATATATAATACTAGCATTTAAATTTAATATTTGGCCGGGTTATTTAATATTTAATATATAATCTTTAAAAAGTAGAGAAAAAATAATTTTTTTAATTTTTGAATTTTGCTTTAAAAATAAGATATTTTAATTGAATGCCTTCTTTAAAACCTTACCGTACCTTAAAACGAGAAAGCCTAACGTCTAATGAGGTTTAATAATTACATTCCTAGCTTCATTTAAGCATAATTATCGTTTCACTTATTTGTTGTGTATTTGTATAAAAATGTTTCTGGAATTGTGCTAGCTCATTAAATACCGTTTAATGTTTCCGCTTTAACGGCACTGATTTGATGATGAGTTAAAAGTTTCTAATTTCTCTGGAATGTTTTTGTGTAAAGCGCTGCCATACAATACAATCGTGTGTGTTGTGTATGTGATGCTAAATACCTACGTTTAGTTTTCCAATGATGAGAATGTTGGTTTTGATAGATGCATTCTAGATGAAATAAAGTTACTTTCTTTCTTTCAAAGGCGAGTATTGATCGATCTCCGTGACTGCAACTCAGTTTTCATTGGCCTCTAGTTTTTGGGGTAGCTATTGGCGAACAAAGAAAGGGTACCTCAAACCGGGCGTCTTTTGTTCGTCTACCAGAAGAAACCAGATCTTGAAGACTGTTTTGCTGCGATTCGAAAAGTTAGGTGACTGATTGTAAGTTAACGAACGATACAATTTAATCAGCAAGCGTATTCCTGTTTTATGTTGCCGTTTACGTGTTAATATTTTATTATTTAAGAATAAAAATCTCTGAAAAATAAATTTTCTGAAGAAGACCAAGAAATGTGTTTTTTAAAAAAATACATAGTTACATCTTCTTAAGACTCATTATTAAGAAAAATCATATGACAAAAAATATCCGGAGGCTGTGCGTGGGAGACAGGGAATGGTGAAAATCGCCGATCACGCGCGAAAAAAAGAACTCGTATACGTTCCTCTTCAATCGTCTATTTATATTTCAGGATTCCTACTGACATCCGATCGTATAGACACTCGCACGCGGGCTTTGCGGCACACTAAGTTTTGAAAATTTAAAAATAACCTTCTATCGTCGTAGGAGAGAAACAGATATACGTGTAGAAATGGACAAAAACGCGCGTGTACAATCACGCACGTACGCAACGCGCCGGGATACGCACACGCAGCCTTCACCTTTCGAAAATCTCGTGATTTTTCTTTATCCGACAGCTTTTTTTTTTTTTCTTTTTTAACCAAAAGACTCGAAATCGTTGGTATTTCTGACAAGCTCGATTTTCGATACCGGAAAAACTGTTGGAAATCTTACACTTATCGCATTGTTCGCTGCATCTAAATATAAACTCGTGGAAATTACACCGATTTCAATCCATGGTTTTAACACTTTGACTGCCAATCGCTATTTTATTTTTAGGTGTAAAATATTTAAATATTGCAGATTATTTTATAATTTTTTTTACACCTGTACCAACTATTTCTGCGTATTGATTATAGAACCTTAAAAATGTGTATGTTGCAATGAAAGTTAGTTGGTCTCGAAGTCAACGGTCAAAGTGTTAATTACTAATTACACTCGCGAATGCAACTTGCCGTATGATATCTCTGCCTCGCCTTTCTGTCTCTCTCTGCTCCCTTCTTTTCTTCCCTTTAATTTCTTTTTTCTTTTTTTTTTACTTTTTGGTGTTGTCTACCTTTCGACATAAATGATCGTCGACACGTATCGCGGCACCGTCGTCGACATTTTGGTCAGTTCTCCAGTTAGTGGAAATAAATTCTCGCTTTGATCTCGTACATACATGTTTATATAATTTTTTTTATTCGCACACTTCGCATACACACGCACGCACGCACGCATATTTTCTCTCGTTTTCTTTCTCTTTCTTACTATCACGCAGATACATGTCTACCTCCAAGTGTCTATCAGGCTTGTCATCTCTTATTGGGGCGATCGTAAATTTGTACAGGGCGATTCAGATTCGTCGCACCTGTGTGTAATAGCATTTTAAATAAAACTAATTAGTTCAAGATACTTTCAAATTAAACAGCATATTGGAGGGTATATCATACTTCTAGCACAATTAATCCTTTTACGCTTTATCGTACAAGATCGCGCAATGATGCTCAGATATGCTGGGCGATTTATTCCGAATCGCCCTGTACAAGTTTCTCGTATATATATATTTATATCATATTATATGTATATCTATATATATATATATATGTATTTATATATATAATTGTATCTATATTTATATTATATTCATATTTACAAAAGGTCGTTCGTTAAATGTTAATATTCAATATCGCAACTGTTATTACATTATAACTTTATTCCTGAGTAACCATTCATTAAGAGCCTTATCGAGAGACTCCTCTCCCTTTCCCCCTTTGTGTTTCATTTATGTATCAGATAGATCATTTAATGCTAAGCGCCGTGACGTGTGATCGAGGTAGCGATAATGATAAACTCAGGAAAATGCAGGGTGTCGGAAAATTCTCTCTCGAGAAGGACTCGCGTAAAAATCGCACGGATATTGGCCTCATTGTGTTCGATAAGATAACGCTAATTTACATAGAAACAAAGGATGCTTCATTCTTCTCAGGCAATGTAAATGTCTACAAGACATCGTAGTGACAGCGTTTTATTTTTCAGATGTCTCTAGAATATTCCTTTCATGTGATTTAGCCTTTGTGCTTTCAATTTAATGAAGTTCGAAAGTTCTTCCGTAAAGCTTCTAGATTCTGTGATTATTTTATGACAAAAATGCAGATAAAATGCAGTTCATTACGGCACGGAAGATGTTCGACAAAGGTTTGTGATTTGGCCTGAAAAATTGCGATTGATAATTACTTCCAACTATATGTCAAATAATTATTTTTTACTTTTAAAATAATTATAAATCGAAAATAATCAGATAACATAATATTTTCCACGCGATGCTCAAAAGCGATTACGCAAATCTAAAAAAAATAAAAGATTCGTTGTCTTTTTTCGTGGTTTCATATACATACATCTTGCGATGAATCAACCTTTTTATGTAATTAGATACAGCTTTGATATGAAAGGATTAAATGTCGTTTAATCCGTTGTGTCTGTTAGAGAATATTTCATCAGATTCACATTTGAGATATATCATTTCCAGTGAATTATCTAGCATATTATCGTACTGTGTATGTTTGTGTGCGTGTACCATTTAATATCTCTCTATATTTAAAAGTTATATCACGATCTCTTTTAAGTGCCACAACGAAGCCACGACATTTGAATACCTCTCTTGATGGCTTAAACGTGTACCTCGAATTATTTTTGCACATGCTTTATCCCTGCACTAAAAATCAAAATTTTCAAGATACAAAGAACGGAGAAGCATTTTTTTCACATAAAAATGCTTGAATGTCGATAATGTTCCTTTACATATATTTCCGTTATCCAATATGGAACAGCGTAATCGCTATGTTAAGCGTTAAAGAGATTCCATTCCATGCACGATAGTGATATATATCAAAGGTGCAAACCATTATATAATGTTTCTGGATCATTTTGTGGAGTTTACGCGGATATTATCGACTTTGTTCTAATGGAAGAGCGCGATATACAATTACGATCTCCGTATGCCATCGTGTCCATTTTTAAGTAATGTTATTTACGCGCGCGAAAAAAAATGTTAAATGTACAATTGTTATAATTTGGTTATACTTTTGGCACACACGATACACACGCGCGTAACGGTATTTTTGTACGTTTGCTACATTTTATTTGATATTGATTTGATTTGACGCGATATTAATTAATGTTTAATTATATAATTAAATTAAAAAGATAGTAACATACAACAAGGAAGACTGTTGTAAAGTTCTTGGCACTATATTAATGTATATACGTGTAAAATTGGCTGACACAAGATCCACAAAATGATCAGAAATTCCATCGACACCTTTCGCATAGACATTACAGAGAGAATTTTGGTTGTTAAATGTGCAATTATACATAACGTCTATTTTAATATATGCAAAACTTGTAAATTTGGCTTTATAAAAACGTCACGGACGATACATGCATCGCGATTATATGCATAATTCTCGAAAAAGTTGGATGAAATCTTTTTCATGATCGATATGATTCTTTTTTTTTTCTCTTTTCCGGGAAGATCGGACATTGCAATTGTCACTGAAATTAAGGTCGCGAGTGTCGGAATGTGATATTTTTTAATCGTTAAATATAATTAGGCGATGGAACGTGCGTTCGATTCATAGGAAAAGAGCAACTGCGGGATGAATGTGTGTCAATCATTAATAAATTTGTCTTTCCGTAACGGATCTCAGGTGTTATGCAAATCTTTTGATGGAATTTTCTACACATCTACGTTGCTTGTAACACCGATAAATATCTCAATAAACTCAATGTCGCGCAAACAGTTATGCGGAAGTGATAGTTATGATAGGAATGATCCGGCTGATCGTTGATAATTGATATCGATCGCATAAGTTCGTGTAATCCGTAGTCGTAACTAAGTGTGTCGCACTATCCTGACAGTTATCTTACACTCTCTCATGTTCTCTTACGCCTCATTTTATTCCAGTTGAACGACTCGGAGCAACGCGTGACTATCGTCAGTTGCAAATCGATTCAGGCGTGCTCTTTCGGACTGTGGCACTTAAATCGTTAATTTGCGTTAATAAATTTAACAAGCATATCATACTATAAACATTGCAGCCCCAATAATAATAATTTATAATAATAACAATGCTATAATAAGTAACAATAATATGATGATAATTATCACCATCGTTATCATCATACTTGCAGTATCGTGTAAATTATTTGTTCGTCGCATTTATAATACTTTAATAGTTTTTTTCAGAATTATTCTTATAAAATAATAAGTTGCAAACTCAATAATTAACGCATTCGATAAATGACGTTTCAATAAGTGCTTGTTTCATTCTGATGCTTCCGCGATTGATACGATAAATCGATTGAATCGATTAAACTTATGGAGCACATAACGTTTGTACGTTTAACAGGGTCAACATAGATTACCGCTAATCACAATTAAACTCTGAACATATAAATATCACAGCCAGTCAAACAGCGTAAAATATATAGCACTGATAACAACTATTTACAAGTGATCATTAATTGTTAATGATTAGAATTCCATTGAAGGTCTAAACGCAAGATACTTCCGGATAACGAACGGCAAATGATAATTGCAATATGTACAACATACATACTGTGTCTACGTTGCGATCACACGTTGCTCGTGAATTATCGTTGTCCACAGCACATACCGTCAAGGATTGTAATTAAGGTACGCCGATATACGATATACATACGTACGCAAATCACTCACGTTACATGCATATAAATTTAGTATAATAATGTAGATAATAATTGTCTAAGTAAGGCGGATTAAACGCACTCTCATCCCTTCGTAACGAGCCTCCCTCCCTCGCTCCCCCTTCCTCTGTAGCTGCCGCTACAGTGCCATCGATCGATTTTATTGCAAATATAAGATTCATTTTATAGAACGTACGTGGCATCGAGAATAACGGCACGTGTGAAATAACTTATTTATCAGAATAACTTATTACTCTTTTCCTACATTTATACTTCCTAGTTTTATTAATTATTAAAAAATAATTCTAAAATACTGCAAAAAAACAATTTTCAAATTCTGCTTACAGATATGTACTTAAATGGATTTTTAATCGTAGAATTTTTTATCGTAGAATTTTTTTCGCTTACAGAAGACGCTTTTCTCGACACCACCGAGTGTTCTGTGAAGAAAAATTCGTCTTCGGACAGGGGGAGGCTCGAATCCCTTCTCGAATCTCGTCTGCCTCGCGCGTACGCGCGTGTACGGGAATAAATGTAGGTATCTCAACGGTTTGTCGAAGTCGCCCTTAACGTTACAAATTTCTAACAAACTTACAGAGGTGTTCTAAATCAATGTGGCAGTAGAATAGTGTTCCCGCACGGCCGCGGAGAGCGCCGTAACTCGAACAGACGAGATCGTGCAAATCGCGCGCGCCTTGATCTTCTCTGGAGTTTTTATTTTTCGTAGTAAGAGCACTTAAATCGCTACGTTTTTCTGAACTGAGCTACGATGTTTTTTTTCCTTCTTTTTTTCCTCCTTTACGTGTTTCTCTGCATTCTTTCGGGTTACCGCGTTCTCGCACGCGGCTCAGCGGGATTAGTTTACTGGATACTGGTACTTCTTAAGGATAATCCCTTACATGGTAATGATTATTCAGCGTGAATATCATACAGATGACATGAGCCCAGTCCCGCGAGTTACATTTCCTGTTCTCGAGTTGATGTTGCTTTCGAGTTTAAAGATTGATATCGATATAATTTCGACGCAAGTGTGAATTTCAAGTATTTATTTGAGACTTCAAAACGCAAAAGCTTGATTTTCAATTTTTCAAATATATATTTTCGATAATTATATCAAAAGGAATGATATTTTCCGCTTTTCAAATTAAAAAAAATTTTAAATTTATGACAATATTAATTTTTAGTGTTATAGTTTATAATTGTTTGGACGAATCCAGATTTGGATGTTTGGATTAAAAACCGCTAAGATAATCTGTTAATTTTTATATCGGCTTCAATCGTCGCTTTCGGCAATGCATCGACTCACTCGGCTGTGCTTAACTTTGATTACTCGTATTATCCTTTTCACCCTTCTCTGAGAGATAAGAAAAAGAAACAGGAAGAAGAATGGAATGTCTTCTTTCTTTTTCATCCCTTATTCGCGTTGCTCTAGCAAATTCGATTTGTCTTTCTACGTGCTGCAAATTCCAGGAATATCGCGATGCTCACGGAATGGGGATGAAGGTTTAAAAAATGCACGTGTCTAGTAAAGACTATTCGATGATTTATAAATGTTAAAAAAAGCGCTGCCGCATGTTACAAATGTCCCGTGCGAGGAGAACGAAATCGCTCTTTTCTCTCTTTTCCTTTCCTCTTTTACGAAATTCCGTAGATTCGCGCACTAGTGTGTATCGCTTCTCTTTCCTTTTCTTTTCTGATTTTGTCGTGGGAAAAATGAAGTGTTCGGTTCGACTCTCACGAAACGCTGCCTACAAAGGTGACGACGCCGTCGATTTTCGTCGGGAACGGAAGGTTACTTGCGATACTCCGCGTGTTTTAACCCTTCGTCGTTGACCAAACGACCAAGCGAACAAATGACCATAGGTGATGACCAAAACGGAAGTCGGAAGTGGTGATGTAGGTGATGGATTAGTTGGTCCCGAACATGAGTTAGTAGGGGGTTGCGCAAGAATTGTAATTACTTATGACTGACGGCCAATGTCCTCTTATCAAATTTTAATATATTAGAAAAATTGCAATAATTGTCAAAGTAAAATAAATAAATAAAAATGTTGAAGTAAAGCTCTGAGGAAATTATATCTGTTTTTTTCTCGTCTATTTGCATCAATGTACAAAAGATTTAGACTAATATTTAAAATTTTAAAATTAATATTCTAGTAAACACATAAATCTTAATTTCAATATTCGAAAAGAAGTTTTGATGATCAATTTTGAAAGCACAGTAATTATAATTTCTGCACGGACCCGCTCCAAGAGTCGCGTATCGAATCGTGTCGACCGTTGCGTCACGGATCTCAACTCATGGCAACACTACGCGCGTCGAACGTGATAAGCACACACTCCCTCTCTTTCTCTCCCCCCTCCTTTCTCCCTCACTCGACTCCGCTGCTTAACTATTACGAGCTACCTATTAATTAATCTATAACGTACGGATCAGTTATATCCAGTGGCAGTTTATTTACAGTGCGGCTCGCGCTGCGGCCCCCGGATGTTTGCATCATCAATTCAAGAGTGAACGGTGTTTGCCGTCGCATCGATTTCCGATTTCGCGATCAATCGTGATGCGTTGCGAATTCTAACGTTGCTAGACTGAATTGAAATAAATTCATGCAATCGTGTAATTCAGCGAGAAGAACGCTGCGACTCTAAGCAAAAATATTTTCACTGCGGTTACAATTACGGTTAATTTCCAAGAAATTACGTGGAATTGCGAGTCAGAAAATTTGCTATTTCACACGCAACGAACCGATAATCCGTGACTCTCGCCATTCTTCACCCTTTCATCCGATTTTATCCCCGTGCCGGGCAAGTCGCGGGCCGCGGCTCGGCCGCATCTACCTTAACATCGTCTATTTACAGGAACAGCACGATCATGTAATTGAGATATCTGGCGCTGGTGGTACCGTTGAGCTTCGTGCCGCCGCCGTTCTCGTCGTCGTTTTCGCTGGCAGTGTCGCCCTTCGTCTCGACGATGGTGTCGAGCCTCTCCGTCGTGCCCCGCTGGGGATGATGATTGCCCGAGCTCTCGCTCTCAGGGGTCTCGTCGGAGTCGACGTCGATCGCCCGGTCGTTCACCTGAATCTTCACCACGGCGTCTACCGGATACCTGGTGTTGCCCTCATCGCTAGAGGATGTCGCCGTGCCGGTTGTCGTGCCGGATCTGCCCGCGGCGCCTGACGCCATCCCAGCCTCCCGCTCGCAGCGCGGACAGATCTGATCGGTCGACGAGCCCTCGTCGCTGTGGCAGCGGAAACAAATCAGGTCGCCGTCGCTTGAGAAGTCACAGTGCTCGCAGTGCGTGGCGACGTAGCCGTTACCTCGGCAGAGCTCGCAGATTGGGCTTTCGTTGCGGTCTGTGAGCAGATCGAGCTGTTAGCTCGACAGAGCTGTCTCGCGCGGTCTGAGATTGTTGTCCTCTGAGAGGCGGCTCCCGACAGCAGAAGAGCCGTCTTGGAGATCATGCGAAGCGTCAGCGAGAAATGCAAATGCAAGTGGCAGCGAAATTATCGGTGGGAAGGGAAGGTGCGATTGTGCGTTTGCGAGTGTGCAGATGACAAGTTGCAAAGAAATTGGGAAATATTTAAAATAGCGTGCGATGGAATAAAAAATGTTACGTAATTTCTTCGGTGTAAAACTGTTTTGCAGCTTATATTTTTTTGAAAAATATTTGCAAAGAATTCTAACTTTGCAAATTAATAAATAAAGTAGCCAAGTAAAATAATACATATTTTGCTGAAAAATGTTAAAAGTTCTAATAAAAGGATTATAGATAAGAGAGTTAAAGAAAAAATAAAGGAAGATTAAAAAAAATTTTTGCTAAGGAGGAAGAAAAAGATAGATAAAGGTTTTGATTGATAAAAGATATAAAAAATTATGGAACGTTATGCATACCAATATGATAAGAAGACAGAGCACCGTTGTAGAACGCTGAAGCCATTCAAATAAATTAAGCAAAGCGAAACTTGTTCAATCCTCGGACCAAAATTGGTCGAGGTACTCGCCTCTGTTGACGTCACCTCGATCGTCCGTGTCTTTGGTGGTCCATCCGCGCCGCTGCTGGTCCTGTGTCCGGTAGGATCGAGGTGACGTTACTGGCAACCCTTGCTCCGGATCGTGGTACGATCGCGGCGACGACGTCTGCGACATCACGCGATCCTCTCCATGGTAGGAGCGCGGAGAGGATAGTTTCACCGGGCTTCTGTAGGCACGAGAGGTTCCCGGCTCTTGGAGCCGATCGTCTATATGCTCCTCCACGTACCTGCCGGCGCACGAGCTCGGTGTTTGCGGCTGGTAGGTGCAGGTACGCGTTTTGTGATCGCATTCGCTGCACAGCAGCAGATTCGACTTGCTGCCGGGCTGCGAGACGTAGCCGTTGCAGGTACCGTAGTAACGCTCGTCTTCGTCGCTGTCGAATAAGTGCTGGCTCAGGCTGCCGATCGACTTTGTGTCGCTCAAGACTCTCCCGTCATCCGCCGGAGGTTGCTGAGCGCCGACGGTGTACCTGTAAACGCCGGATCGATTCATTATGCGCGCGACACTTAATCGAATCGACATTGAACGCTCATGGGCGCTATCAAACGCAAAACTTATTATACGCCTTGCTGCACTAAGTATTTATCACATTTATAAGCTATAGAAAATCAGCTTTCTCTTGTTTTATATAAAAATATGGAATGAAAAGAGTGCAACAATCAAATAATAATTCTTCTCAATAAAAAAAAAACAAAAAAAAAAAGATAAAGTGCCTGAAGCTTGAAATATTAGACATCAGAAAATTGTATGAGATATTATAATTAATAAAATCGATAACATATACAGTAAGTATAGAGAAAATTGAAAAGCCAAATAATCTATCATGATATTTCTAGTTTAAGTTAATTTTATTGTTATGTGTATATGTCATATTAATTATTTTAATTAAAAGTGCTCTGTGATAGAATCACAGGCGACTCGACGTTTTCGAATGCCAAATAAATTCGATTAATAATAAGCAAATATTTCGTTGGATTACCTGGTAGCGGCTTCGACAAGGTAGTGACGTATTCGCTCGATCTTGGTCTTGCCGCGCTCTCGCGGCATTGTTTCTCGTTAAATAATGCTTTCCCGGTTTCTCTCATTGTTGTCCTCGACGCTCGAGGTCGAGCTTGCGCCACAGATCTGCATCTCGATTTCGGCCAACCGGTGTTCGACCTCCCATTGCTGCTGGTTCAGCTTGACGCTCATCGCCGCGTTTTCGCTTTCCAGGCATTTCAGACGCTCACGGAGGCGCTGAATTTCCGATAGCAGAGCGGCCGAGCCTTCGTGCGTGCCGAACAGAGGTGTTGTGCCCTCGCTCACCAGCTGCGTCATACTGTTGCAGGTCAGGCCTGAAAAGAGACAACGGGTCGATGTAGAGAGTGTTTATATTTCTCCCATATTATATTTATCTTTAATTCTTATAATACAAATTATAAAAAAAATATATATTATTATTTTAAATAAGATTTGAACTTTACCTTCTAGCTCTTTGTTGGCACGAAAAATGAATAAATTAAAGATATTAATAATATTGCAACATATTTGTTCCAATAAAAGTAATTAACATAAAACGTAGAAAAAGTATCGAAAAAAAATTTGAAGTAAAAAAAAAGATCTTCATCATTATTTATATTATTTATATATTATCTTATACGTTACCAATTACATTTAATAATAATTTAATGAATAGTAATAAAAAAAAGCGAAGAGCGAACAAGCAAGCGGATGAATGCCTGATATAAATTCGTGAGATTATTGCAGTTGATACATTCCCCTATCTTCTGGCTAATATGGCGATCGCGTTTCAATAGGCAATAATTAACGCGAGATACGGACTGCCGTCTATTGGTCCATTGCTATAACACAAGTGCGCGCAATTACCGATCGTTGAAAGTTACATGAGGGTAGAAAGAGGAAACACAAACGTATACCGCGCGGTAACATAATCGGCGCGCGAGAGGCAAATCCCCGACGGATCGCTCGGGTCTTTGTGATTCGTTGATGTTGATTAATGCGCGCGATTAGTATTTCTGTCTGGCAACGGCGCCACTCACGCGCTAATAGAATTCGCATATAAGATGAGCCGCCTCGCACGACATCGGGAGGAGATGATACAACGTGTAAATTAGTATTCGCAAACGGCTAATTAATTTACGAATTGCCGGGTGCGTCTCACATTCCAGCTATTCAGAGAGATCCGAGTATTGTCTGCTGTCTCGAGGGACTCGTCTTGATCGTGTCGCTTCTCACATTAACACTTGAACTGGCCGGGGTATCCGAGTCATTCAGAGGTATGGGTTGCCGCGTCACGCGTCGCGTGATATTTTATCGCGACATTTTGTCAGTTGAATCACTATCGACTCGTATCTATCTGTATATTCGTGTTTGATTCGTTATCGCCAGCAGCAAAATCTGTCACGGTTTAATCGAGCGATCGCGTTATGCCGCGACACGCCGCTCT